TGGAAATATTCTTCTTCTTTTTTTTTTTAAATCTATACTGGTTTTTTAAACTTTATTTATTTATTTATTTATTTATTTATTTTATGTGGTGCTAAAGATTGAACTCAGTGCCTCATATATGTTAGGCAGGCGTTCTACCACTGAGCCACAACCTGAACCCCATAAATATTCTTTTTAACACCAACTGAAAGCCAAATAAGAATGAAACCCTTGCCAGAGTTGTATCCATTTCTTTTAGTTGCAGTAATGGGAACCCAACATAAGCTAGACTAAGTAGAAGAGGGAAAAAAAGGAGCCCCCAGGGGCTGGGGTTGTGCAAGATGCCGGGTTATAATCCTCAGCACCACATAAAAATAAATAAATAAAATAAAGGTATTGTGTCCAACTACAACTAAGAAAAAAATTTTTTTAAAAAAGGAGCCTCCAACCAAAAGGTCAGTTAAACAACCTGTTACCTTTCCTCAAACACATCATCTGCCCCTCAAAGACTGGCTTTTTTGTGATGGCTTCATTCTCTTCCACTGCAGATAAAATTTGTCTCCCGTGTTGCTGAGGAAGAGAACCACAAAGCAGCTTCAACTTACATGCTCCAGGCTCTGTAACTTCAGGGAGCACAGAATCTATTCCCCCAATTTTAAGTACCTGGAAAATTCTAAATGGCTCTGCTAGGGTCACATAACCTCCCTGGACAAATTCCAGCCATTGGGGATACAATTTATGATCAGCTAGGCCTGGACCAAATGACCAGTAGCCATGAAAAACATAATTATACCAGAAATATAATAATAGTAGCTAAGGTGACTAAGTACTTAGTATGTACCAGTCACTGTTCTAAGCATCTTAACTATATCAAATCATTTCATTACCATAACACATTTAAGAAGTAGGTATTAGTATTTTTCCATTCATAGATAAGGAAACTTAGGTACACAGTGGGATATACTGCATCATTTCCATAATTAATAAAAGGCAATTTTAGGATTAACATGCAGGTACCCAGAACCTGTGCTCTGGATTACCCTGCTGTGCTGCTCTGAGTGTGCTATGAATGACAGCCCCCCAGAACCATATGGGATGGGAGAGGAGTGGCACCCTGAAGCAAAGTATGATATGAGAAGGAAAATTATCATCTCAAACAATGATCATTAGTTTCACTTATTGAACTAAACATTGCTGGGAGCCATTAGCCAAGTAGGTATGGATGCTGGGAGCCATTAGCCAAGTAGGTATGACAATTTCCTTGCCAGCGTACCCCATGTTGCTGACATGTTGCAGTGACATTGAATGTAGATGACCTTGCTCAAGGACCAAGGCAGATTAGGGTGTTCCCGGTTTTAAGATAATCGTGTTTAGGGCGTTCCCAGTTTAGGTTCCAGGTTTAAGGTTTAAGATTATTCCTGCTGGGAATAGGGTGTATCCTGCTGCCTGAGTTCCCCTTGAGTTCTCACGGGATTCAGACAATATATTTTGGAGATAGAAGCCCAGTGGAGGTGGATTTGGGCAGAGAACGTGGATTTCCCGAGAATGTGGATTTCCCCAGAACGTGATTGTAGACGGCTGGTGTGAGTTCGGGAATAGAGTTGCTGTTTGAATCTACAAGCTGTGTGGTGGCTCGTGATTGTGTGCCCAGCCAGACTGCGGCATTTGTGCCCAGCCAGACTGCGGCAAAACATGAAGTGAGGTATCCAATAAACATCTGACAAATGTCTACCGTGAGTCAGACCACATATCATTCCTTCAAGTAGAGATCAAAATCAATGAACTCACTGTTGCCAAATGTCTCCCAGGCCATAGATAACTAAGGCGCACAGGGACAGGGTACTTTCTTTATATGATAAAATCATTTGTGTCTCTAAAAGTGCTTTCCAAGTTGTGTTTAAATATGTTATTAAAACTTTTTTTGTCATAAGCTAGTATTTTAAAACTAAAATACTGAAGGAATGATAAATATAAAAGGAAATGAATTAAATTTGTTCAACTAATTTATTTTTTAAATCAGTCTTTTTTAATAAAATAAATCTCATTTTCCTCCTTCTTCTGAAAAAACACTATAAAGAAAATTTCTTTCAGAGCACTCCAGCTCTGAAAGAAAAGATAATTCAAGGTGACTAGTGTAAGACTAGAAGTTTGCCAGGATTAATGACAAAGGGGCCTTCCCCTGCTTTGAGGTCAAGTACAGGGGAGAGTTTTTGAAGCAAAAGAAAGTGAAGAGAAGCTTATCTCAACCTCACAAGGGATGACAGTATGCAGGTGAATGCATAAATGCTGGCATTCGTTAGAAATCAGTGACATTGCTTCATGTACCTGGAGTGTTCATAATTCCCAAAGAGTGAAGAATATTTCTAAAACATATGTCATTGATTTTCACTTTTCCTTGCAGCTCTCCATCATCTATTATTTTTTCCAACAAGTCTGGTAACAATTCTTTCACAATATTGTATAAATAATTTTTTCCTTTTTCAGGGCAGCAATGACTATATTAAAGTTTCATCCTTGGCATATTTTATGTTAATCCTGAACTCCTAAAGGACAGTAATGCTGTTTTACCCATCACTGTGCCCAGCATACAGCAGGCACTCAACAAACACCAGCCAAAGCTTCTCTTCTCAAGTCATTTTCTTATTAGGGCCTTTCTCTTTGGCTAGCTATATTAACACATGACTTGCAAGTACAAAACTCCAAACTTAGAAAGTAGATTTTAGTTTCCAAGATAGAACCTCTAACTTAGAGGGGAAAGCCTTAAAAATCTGCAAATCATCAAAATCTTTGAGCTCAGAATTGGGGAGGTGGGTGCTGGAGCCTCCTCTCAGGACTTGAGAAGTTCCTCAGCAGCAGTAACCTACAAGCTTCACAGGTCCTTTGTGAAGCAATAGCAATGGCTGTTACTATGATCTGTGTGGTTCATAACAAGCTCATTTCTGATTTCCAGTGGGTCTAATTGGGCTCATATGGCTCAATTCCCAGTGCCTAAAACAGTGCTTGACACCATGAGTGAAATTTCTACTGAATTAAACAAACGAAAATGGAAACGTGGTAAATGAAAGAAATTAACATTGTTTTGTGCAATGATACAAAATTAAGGCACAACTAGGAAAAGAATTCTCCTCTTTACACATTTAGACCAAACTTAAATACTGACGAATTCAGGCAGGCAATGAATTAAGCAGTTACATTATAGATATAAATGCATGCATGGATTTTGCTGAGCAGATGAGAGGGGTGCACTCTAAAGAGATCAAGGTCTACTTCACGAGGGTGAGGCTGACTCAGCTCCAGCCTGTTGCTGTCACATGGGGTGCAGGCCCAATTCAGCTAGTTTTTCCTTTTAAAAAGTCCTGTGTGTGTGTGTGTGTGTGTGTGTGTGTGAGAAAGAGAAAGAGAGAGATTGAAAGAGAGAGAGAGAGAGAGAGAGAGAGAGAGAGAGAAACTCCAAAATTGTAAATATTGGCTCAAAATGTAAAGGTAAACTATGTACGTTTTGATGTATGTTTTGCATGCATATTTGGGTAATGGATAACAGACAGGAAACCTTTGAGAATTTTATGTGTCTAAAACTATTTATCCCTAGGGTGTGTATGTGTGTGTGTTGTTGTTGTTGTTGTTGCTGCTGCTGCTGCTGCTGCTTCAATAAGCTTGTGGGAATGGAGATAAAAAAGGAAGCAATTTATACTGTAGGAAGGGTCTTCAGCATTGGAGTAAGCTAGTATAAAAGCACCAGAGGAATTATGGTTGAAGGGAGGTTGCTTAATGGAATTTGTCAAGCACATTACCTTATCTCTGAATTTGCAAATATTTTCCTCTATGAATAGGCCATCTGTGTTTGCTAACTCGTGCCCAGCAAAGTTAGGCTTCTATCCTCCCACAGAAACTGGAAGATAGGGTACTATCTTCTTTGATGATTATCTATCAAAGGGAGTGCTCCCAAGTCCTTGCTTTTTTAAAAGCAAGATGTTTCTTGCTTGTAAAAAAGATTTACATCTCAAAACAGGCAGAGAAAGAATGTCATTCTTTCAAATTCTTACAATTTCAAGTTTTCTAAAGGGAATGCTCTAAGAAAAAGGAGGTCAGAAAGAAGACTGTCTCAAATTCAGCCAAGCTGGTAGTCAAGTGTGGTCTATGTTGACACTTAGCAAGCTACACATCAGTGGACAAGTTTTAGAGAAAATTAATCTAGACATTCTTAATACTAGTTTAATATCATCCCCTCCTTTCCCCTATATCCAATATATCAAGAAACCATGGTCTGCCTGCTTGGTATCCACCAAAGTTGTTTGTAATTGTACCAGTGTCGTGAGCTTTCACCAGCTGTGCAACCTTAGGTTAGTCAACCACTCCATTTATAAGTAGAAATAATAAATACAAACTTCGCCACATTCTACGAGGAGGAAATCTTATCTGTATAGCACTCAACCCAGTGCCTGACATATAGTAACAACTCAATAAATGGTAGACATCAATATCTCAGCTAGTTCTTACCTGTGCTATTATGTTGTTCATATGGAATAAGAAACAGACTATGATACCAATACCAAGAAAACACACAGGGAGAAAATAAGTTAAAAAATTATGGCTTAGATCTATCAAAATTAGAGCAGAAGAAACTAACAATGATGCATTAACTATTTCCAGAGCACGTGGTCCGTTCTCCACAACTTTACCCTACTTTCTGCCCAACATTCCTAACCCTGTTTCCTCAAACTTAAAATATTTTTCCACGTAGAACCCAAGAATGTAATGCAATTTTCAAAATTGCAATTGTTACATTTCCTTCCTCACATGCATCCCCTGTGGGATTTTACCCCCCCACCCCCCACCAAACAAACAAATAAAAAACTGTTGGAGTTTATTAGCTTTTCAGGAATTCTGTGCAAATTCTCACCCAAAGGTTTTCCTTTGTTTGTATCTGAGTAGCAACTTTAAGTTTTCAAGATTTGGACTCTGGTCTTAGAATTGTGTTCAGAGTATCTCCACAGAAGTGGTCTGTTTCATCATCCAATGAGCTTTGCCTGTTTGTCGATGTGACACTCTAGTGGAAGGAAGCCAAGAGCCTATAGTAGTGATCCTGGGGAAAATTTAAGCAGCTGTGGCCATGTAATTTAAAACCTCTGAAGAGTGTGCTGCGGACCGTGCACAGCATTAGTATAACATGAGAGCTGGATGCAGCCTGTGCTCCAGAGGACGTCGCCTGCTGCTGGAAAGAGAAGACTAAAAGACAAACCTGGGTGCAGCCGGAAAGGTCCAGATAGATGAGCTTGTGGCATCCATTCCCTAAATTCAGGTACTGTAAACCTTTGTCCGTGAACTTTCGGCAATAAGCCAAACTAAGATTCTGTAAGTTGTGGAAGTGTCTGAAAAGACAGAGTGAGAAAAGAGAGGAAGGAAAAGAATTATACTTCAGCTGCTCTCTCACATCTTTCTTAAGCCACTATGACAAAGAGAACTAAAACTGTAGATTAATTTTTTCTCCTTGCAGATGGTTCAACAGTTTAACTCTATAGTTCACTCTCTTCTTATAATTAAAGGAGACCTTTATAGCAAATAATGCATAATTACATTTTAAATGAACTGAATAAAAAAATATTTGGCTAGATTTTTAAGAAAGTTGACTGGGATAAAGCTTTTTTGGGCAATGTGGGGGAGGGGGATTGCATTCATATTGTTTGGAAGTTAGTTTGTTTTTGAAACCAAAAGTGAGGGTTTGCTTTATTGTTGTTTTTAGGTTTTAGCTTTGGAGCAACAAAATAATACGAAAAAATGTCTACAAAGACAAACTTCGAACTGTTCTGTGAGAGTGAGGATTTGGGAAAGAAGGCAAAACAGAACATAAGAGTCTCTTTAAATGGATCTGATAAGTTATTGGTTTGAAAAATATAGACATAGACTTAAGTATGCATGCTTTTATAAGTAACAGTTTTATTATTACGGTTAAAAATTGTAAAAAAAAGACATTGCTACACAGAACTGAAACATAGGTTAAGAAGAACAGCTTGCAAATGAGTGGGCAATACATGAAAAAGATAAAAACTGTATCAGAGTCTCTCAATCTTACAGAGTTGAAGCAAATGAAACATGGCATTACCCCATTGACCAAAATGAGAGCTTCCAGAAAAAAAGGAGAGTAATTAGGATGAGCTTATACTACTGTGTAAGGGCTCACATTTTGAGGACACTCTGTGTATTTTAGAAGTGCAAGAACTCCCACTACTGCCTGCTTTTGTAATGGAATTAACAACTTGCTCTTGGTTTATGATCTGCAACAGTTTAGCAGCAAATGTGAAAGTGGGGAGAAAAATGCCTCTCTGCCCCTTAAAAGCTTACAAATTAATTTAATAAAATCTACTTCCCCCAAATGGAAAACAAGATATAAAAGTATGGACCATTTATTAATCAGAATTCTAAAATCTGAAAAACACATCTATATATTATAATGATTCCTATTCTACAGAGAATTATTTGATTCATAATTTTTTTCTCCAGGAATGGTTGTATACAGGAGATTCCGCCAGGGAGAGAGGGAAGCCCAGACTGAGACAGTGCTACCCTCTGCAGACTCACCCCTCTCCCCAAGGGCCCGCCCCCAGTGGACTAAAAGTGAGGCCAAAGTCCACTTTCTCTTCTTCTCCCTTCAACTCTGTGATTCAACTAAGTCAAGAACATAGGGGTGGGGTTTGTCACTTCTAACAACCCTGCAGATCTCTGATTTGGAGAAAAGAGTAGTGAGGTAGACAGCGCCACACAACGGAAAATATACCAGATTGTGGAATGTGACCAAACCAGATTCCAGTCCTAGCCCTGATACTTTCTGCAACTGAACTCTCAGAGATTGTTTCCCTGTCTGCTAAGTAGTGATAAGAATTTCATCTCTAATTTTTTTTTTATCCTAACCAACTGTGGGGCCACAAGCTTTACTCACCCTCAGTAACACAGAACGTAATCCCATCCTCTCTTTGCCTTTAGAAGTATGCAATTAAATGAGAACACAAATGTAATAGTAGTAGCTTGAGGGTGATTTTGACAATTAAAACCAGTGGGGACATTGTAGAAGCTTTGAGAATATATGCATTGTTATGACTGCTACTACTACCCCCAAATAAAACCACATAGTAAGTTTTTATGGAGTTTGTACTGTTTCTTCCATTTAATGGCATAGATACTTATCTGACAAGAGTGGTGCTTATAGATGATTTCAACAGTTTAGGGGATGTCACATTGAGTCTACACCTTGGCCCAAGCCTATTTTTCTATTTACTTAAATCCATGTCATTAGTTAACAAGTAAGAAAAATGAGAATTGAAGGGGCTTTTGTTGTTGTTGTTGTTGTTGTTGTTGTTATAGACACCATTGGCAGTCTAGTGAGGTCTAAGATTCTTTCTTAGTATAATGTTGTTTAATTCATAAAACAAAATACATAAGATTAAAAAGCAGCCAATTATATTGAAATATCTAATTATCAAAACATTTTTAAAACCAAATGGGTAGAACAGTAATATATGTGCTTCTTTATTAATAAATTAAATAACAAGAGCTAGTGGTAGTTCTAATAACTACTATGATTGTGAAGTAGTGATGAGTGTCAGTGGTATTTCAAAATATGTGTAACAACTATAACATGAGAAGAGTGTATTTTTTCCTCCTTTCTTCTGTATTACATTTATGTGGGGGAAAATGTCCCAAGAGCTGCTAATACTACTCTGATTTTTTTAATCTACATTTCAGTTTGAGATTAATGAAAATAAGAGAGAATTCCCCACCCCCCTTCAAAATACATGGACCCTGTAAATTTCATCCCTGATCCTCTGTGGGTGGGGGGTGCACTGACCCCAGGTTGAAAATCTCCAGTTTAGAAAAAAGATAAGTTCCTAAATAAGTTCCTAGGCTGAATGGCTTTGGATGGCTGTCTTCAAAATGGAACCTCATGAAAACCACCCTGAGTGTGCAAGCAAAGTACAGGAATCTAGAATGGCCCTATACAGCTGTCAAGGGATTTACATGTGGCATACTTAAAGCTGCTGGAGATGGGAAAAATATCAGTTAATAGTGAAATCACACTTGGCAAATTTTATGCAATAGTGATACTTTTTATTAAGGATTTTGGCAAAGAAATATGTCTCCTACATGAGTAAGGTCTGGTTCAACATTTTTCCCAGCACAGAGACTATCTGACAACTCTAACTCCGTTTTGAGGCATAGTGTTTCCAATCTTTTTAAATCTTTTCCTAATTATTCAATAACTTAAGTTTTTCATATTGGGGGATGGGTTTTCTCTTTGTGGTTTATTTATTTTTCTGCTACAACTATATGTAATAAACTACAATTCTTGTAGAAACTACAGAGATTATTTTTTTCCTCCTTTCTTCTGGCTTTGTTTCCTATGAAGAATTGAAGTGTTTTGACTTTAAATCTTTAATACCTGAGGAATGTAAAATTATGTATTTTAATGAAAAGTTCTCTTAAAAATCACTAAGACAAGACCAAGTTTGTAAAAGAGATAATTTGCATGTGGATTCTTTAGAGTGGAGTGTTAGGCTCTTTAGTTTCACAGAGGCAGGTTCAAGAAATAGAATTTTGCAGAAAATCTAAGTAGAGTGATACAGACTCTTTCTTACAGGGTGAACTTGAGGTTGTTCAGACAGGACAAGGGCTTACTCTGTCTGCCCCACTTTCATGGGTACTCTATATAATCCCTGACAATAAGAAATGGTATGTAAAAATGATAACCCCTGACAATAAGTTTCAAGCCAAAGAAAGGATCGATTCATCTATATGAAAAATAATTAGACACCACTCCACTACAGCATATTAAGGGACAAAGATCAAGCAAACCATGGTGGTCCATGCCAATAGTCCCAGTTACTTGGGAGGCTGAAGTGGGAGGATTACCTGAGCCCAGGAGTTAGAGGTCAGCATGGCAGACTCAGTGAAAGAAAAAAAAAGGTGAATGGGGAGTGCAGAGAACACAGATCATAATGACTGTACTACCAACCATATGTACATAGTTAATATGTGATGAATAAGTGAATGAATGTGGCTATTAGAATGTAGAGAGAGGAGAAAACACTGCACTTCGGGCAGATGGCATGACTTGAGGCTAAGGATTAGCAAAGAGAAGCAGAAAGGTTTTCCAGCTATAGAGAAGGCAAGCAGAGGGCCAGAATTAAGGGCTTCTCTTGGAAAACTTAGGCAGGTTCGTTTGACTGGATAATGTTAAGAGATAGTTAAGGAAGGTTGTAGACACAATAAGAAGAGTGTTCTAGTATGATCCTTCTTGGGGCACAAAGTAGGGCAGATTGTAGGGAAGAAAAACAGGAGGTGGGACCAGCAGGATGCTGTGCCAAATAAGGAGCTGAGAGTGCCACCTAGGTTGTGACAACAGGAATGACTACAAAGGGTTGAATTCAGGAAATAATAGAGGGGGAAAATTTCCTGAAATGGGCATGGACTGTGGGCAGCCCTCAGTTTCAACTTTAGAAAATTAAGCAAGTTTCTAAAGAAGTGAGGCAAAAAATTCAAATAAAAGATGACAAATCAGTGTGGCCAAAAAGGCCAAACAAATTATATTTTTCCTCTGGCAAAGGATTTCTTTGGAAAGATGTACTAAGGGCATGAAAAGAGAATGACAGCAGCAACAACCACCATTTTTCTGGTTATTTATAGTTTAAAGAACACTTTTGCATATCCAAGCACATTTGAAACAATGGAAAACAGCAAAAAATAGAAAATCATTACAAAATATATTTTTTTCATAGATAAGTCAGTGTATATTTTTTCCATATGACCAAAAAAAAAATCAGTATTAAGAAGCATTTATTTTGCATAACATTCTTTTAATGGCAAGAACTAGAAGTTAAATAAAATTCTTATTTTCTATCTATTGCCCAATAAAGTATAGTTTTATTTGTAAAACAAACATCCCTAAGGAGTTATGCATAGCTAGAATATTATATTAAATTTCCCTAAGAGAAAAAAGTTATCTAAATGTATGATTGGAGAAATATTTTTAAGTTGAAAAGAACTTAATTTGTAATGTGATATAAACCACTCTCAAATCATCAACTTTCTAAATTCAGTTTTTCATATATGGATTTTATAATATTCTTTCTGTCTGTATCTCTCTCTCTTCTTCCTTCTCTCTCTCTCTATACTATTATGTATGTACCGTTACTAAACTATTCTATGTAGAAATCTGAATAAAATCTAAAAAAGTAGAAATAATTTATATACATATTAACACATATATTCAGGTAGAGAAACAGAGATTCATATATACATATACGTAATTATATTTATATACTTTAGTATGGAATGTCTAAAGAAAAGTCCTGAATGAAATTCTAAATCAAAGGGTTAGAGGACCTTAAAAAACTTCTGCAAGGGTCTTGGGGATCCTCATGGGGGGCCTCCCACAGTGATGTTATTGGAGCTGGCTTGTGACAGCTCCAGTTGAACTTTAACATCTCCCAAGTTTACATTAAATGACATCTTGTTATGGCTTAAAATTGGCCACAATGGGACTATTTATGCCACAGAAATCAGTACAACCTTCTACCCACCACCCCATCCAGGATTTAAATATTTGCCTGAACAATGCTGTTTTTGGAATGCACTTTAAGAATTACTGATATAGAAAAAGCAGTATGCAGTGAATTACATATATAGAGAAAAATTGTGAGAAAAAATATGGCAGCTTCGAAGAACAGGAATAAATATAAAAATAAAAGGGGATTCTTAAGATGAACCTTGAACAAATTAATAGAAGCATTAAAAAGAGAATTTTGTCTTCTTGGGCTGAGAAAAAAAGTTCAAGTTTGAATGTTCAAAAAGTTTACCATGTTCCAGGAGAAATTAATTAAAAGAACACAATTAAGCTTGGAAAATGTCTTTAATTTCTCACAGAAAAAGAAACTCTTGGAAACATCTTGGTAGAAAAAAATAAGTTACAAAGGAGGGCCCTTAATTCTGGCCCTCTGCTTGCCTTCTCTAACAAAAAAAAATCATGCTGGCTTTTAGACTTCTCTTTCATCTGAAACTTCAAGGTTTATAGAGCAACACCTAAGAGTTTTAAAGATAAAATAAGGGATATGATTGAATAATCATATACCAGGAGAAGTTGTTGTTTATCTTCTAAGATAACAGTCATTTTTCAGAGATCAATGGCTGAAATTCTAACAATCATGCATCTTTCCTAAGAAAAGAGTTTTTAAAATTATATCTCTGGTCATCATAGGATGAATCAAAAATAAGAACTAAAGAATAAGGAATCTGTGGGAGAAGAGCAGTTCCAATAAATGGCCTAACTTGTTGGGGTTACATAGTAATTGTAATTATGATTATGATATTAAATGTAAAACACTAAAAATCAATATTAAAAGTTAAGTGAATAGCAAAAGTCATGATTAACAGGATGTATAATACCTTTTAAACACCTTTGTTTTAAAAGTAGATATAGAAACACTGAGTACAGTGCAGTAATAGAAAAATCAAAAAAAGATGGTAAAAGAAAGACCTCACACTCAATTTTTACAAGAATATTAATCTTTTAAACTGTCTTCTTTAAAAGGCAAAGAGGAAAAATTTTTAAAATGCAATGTTAACTATGTGCTGCATATAAGAAACAAATCTATAACCCAATAACACAAAAGTTAAAAATATGGGAATATATACAGTTTTTCCACAAAAAGGACAAGTGAAAGGAAACAAAGGTGACTATTTAATAGTAGATTTAAAAGAATTCATGACAAAGAAACAACCAGGAAAAAGAATATCACATCATGTGAATAAAAGCTATAATCTATATTGAAATGTGATACTTATGAACCTTAATAAATAAAATAACATCAAAATAAATTTAGAAGGTTGACTGTAATAAGCCACTAATATATCACTATTCTACCATGACATATCAAGAAGGTATATGTATATATGCACACATATATACAGAATTTTGTTCTCAAAAAGAAACTATCTTAAACATTCATAGATGATTTGTTGAAATTGATTATAACTAGTCCACCAAGAAATCTCAATAAATTCTAAAAAGTAGAAATAATTCAGTCCACATTTCTTGACTACAGTGCATAATTAAAAACAGAACCTTAATCAAAGAAATGTCAACCACTTAGACCAAAAATTCTCTTCTAAATAATTTTTGGGTCAAAGAGGAAAGCAAATATAGACTAGTTTGTTTAGAAAATGAAAATAATATTTACCAAATCTTGTGGACTTTGCCCAAAATCTTATATATAAATAATTTTATATATTTATCTTTATTTTTATATAATTTTGTATATTTATATAGAAATAATTTTATAGCCCTGATCATTTTCTTTTAAAAGGAAAGAAATCAATTAAATAAAAAGTTTAAAAAATACCTGCATCTCATATTGAAGTTCAAAAGTGACCATTTGGAAAATATAATCAGAAAGACTACCATTCTCAATAACAATTTAAAAGACTCTTAAGAATAATTTTCATGCAAAATAAAACCTATGTAAACAAATAAAATTGTATTGAGAGACTTAAGAATTTTGAAAAAATAATAATAAACTATGTTCCTGATAGGAAAACTAAATATTATAAAAATACAAAATCAGTTTCTGGTTTATATTTAATTATCTGAATCTACTGATTCTTTCACTGACTTTTACCAAACTCTTACAAATGGAGCCAACCCACCAATAGTTGCAATCAAGGAATGAACTTAGCTCCATATGGATTACAGTACATTTATTTACATTAAGGATTAGACAAAGATGTCTGTCCATAGTTCACTCATCCATCAATGACATGAGTAGTGCCTTTGCTGAATCAGTTAATAATTTTAAAGTATTGAAATAAGTATTTCCTCCATTTTTTGTTATTTACAATATTGTTACTACAGACCTGACACACTGTTAAATTTAATCTGCTTTTATTAATTGTTGTTTTCTGTCCCTTTCTCAAATATAAGCAATGGCAAAACAATAAATCAAGAACTGATTTGTAATATTTGTCATTTTCCATGGTGTGGATTACTCCGAATTAACTAATAATTGCAAGCTATCAACAAGAAGTCACTAAACATGGAGATGGAAAGGGCTGTATGACAGTATACCACTCCAAAGGATTTTCATCAGAGACACAATGGACATCAACAACTTCAAGGCCATAATGTAATATGAGATTAAATATTAGAAAAGGATGAGTTTTAAAAATTTATTGTCTGCAAAAGAGTTTTAGGTATATAAGGAAGAACCAGATACCACTTCATAGTCAATAAATGAGGCTGGATTACTGATTTGCTATTTAGTACTTAAAGTGTAAAACTATTCTTGGCTTATGGACCAAGAATTTTACACTTTTACATACAAAAGCAGGCCTTGAGCCATATGAACATATATGTTGACCCCTGATTCAAAACATCTGCTTCATTCATTTACTAATAATATAAGTTCTAGATTCATTACATATTTGAGTAAAAAACAAAACAAGTAAATGTATATGAAATGCCTAGAAAAGGGAAGACTATGTTTAAAGTACTAGGAGAAAATTCAAAGGGAAGTTTCCATAGATTTGACTAAATAAAACATGGTAATTCAATTAACGGGATAAATGGAAAATATGGTGGCACTTTTTCGGGGGTTTGCTTATTTGTGGAAAATGGTTACAGTCAGAAGATTAAAAAAAAAAATTACCACCCAGAATTTTCTCTAAGCTTTTCCAAATGTCTCATTGCTGTTTTTCAAAGAATCTCAAAAAGTTATATGCTCTAAAATAGTTTATTCTTTCACAGTAGTTTCAGAAATGTTTCTCAAAGTCAAATTTGAATGTCTCCCAGGGGCTGTATACTCTTCCTAATTTTTCTTTCCATAACACAAATAAAGAATAATGAGTGGCATTAATTTGTAGTAAGTTTGAATACTCTGTCAACTCTTATGTTATTCTGTCTCTTCTCATCCAAAGAAATGCTGGCTGAGGAGAAGCGACATTTCATGCCCAGGGATGTCAATAGTTCACAGTCAAAAACCAACTGTCAGATTCAGGTTTGAAGAGGTAGCCAGAGCACAGGGAACTTGGGACAGTGGTGCTCAAAGTCTAGGGAGGCAGGATGTTAGGTTGTATTATAGAGAGTTCCCAATACCAGACTGGAATTGGGGGCCAACGTTCATTGTTCAGAAAGGGTGACCAAAAAGAGCTAGGTGAGGTCAAATTCAAGCTATTGGGCACCTTGCTATAAAAAGGGACAAAACCACTGGCCAGGACAGAATACCCCTGATCAAACTGCATCTGCCAAGCGAGAAGATTGCTGTCACCAGCTTGGGGACTTGAAAGCAGAAGTCCCTTAGCAAAACAGCAGTGCCACTTCAGTGAGGTGTTGGTAAAGGGAGCACTGCCTTTGGGGAATGCCAAAACAATCTGGGCCCGGGGGGAGGATAATACAAACAACACAAACATTACTTTGGCAGGAGTCTCATCGTCTTATTAGTGATACTTGTGTTAGATAGATTAAGATACAGGACCCCATGACAGCCTTCGGAAATGTGTCTCATTGCTTCATCCTGTATAAAAAACAAAGGGAAGAATCTTATGAAAACCCTAACAGGCTTGGCAATTTCTCCCTTATCTATCACTTCTCTTCCTGCCCCAGGAAAAATACATGCAAGACTTAGTGTCTTCATATTCATTGGTATCAGTTTAAATTAAATTAAATAGAAACTAATGGTTTTGCTTGAAGCTTCATTACTCCCTTCTTTTCCCTTTCTTGAGAAAGTCCCAATCCATCACAAAGACACTTCATTAAAAGGTTAAGCCTTGCAAGTTCTATTCTGTGACAAGAAATTTGAACACAAATGTCAAATGCTCTTGACTTTTCACATGCAGAAAAGTGATTAAAAACGGACCCATTTAATAATTTAATAAAATTATTCTGAAAGATGAGAATAGTAAACCCTCTCAGCTGGGCTTTATTAAAAATTAGTCCATATTTACATACATTTTTTTTTGTGTGTGTGTGTAGTAAAGTTTCTGTGGTTGTAATACTGAACATATTAAAATGGCTGGACTGACTTTCACCAAATTTATAGTAAGTTTGAGATAACCTGAAAGAAAATATAGACTCTGCATAAGGTGGGCATGAAATTGAGTGCCGGAGAAAGTTGGGGAGAATCTCGAAGTTTCAAGCAATCTTCCCCCAGAAGATTGAAATGGTAAGTGAATGGTGTGACTGTAAAATGAAAGAGACAGAAAAACAGAGATTTCAAGCCCTAAACTGAAATTTATAAAATTAGATGAATGGTAAACAACCATAATGTGTGGCACTATACTTGAATATACACAAAATGTTCAGTGAACCAATCAAAAATCAAAGTATTTATGCACTTGTTGAAAGACATTGGTTAAAATGCAAACAAGAGAGCTGGGGTTGTGGCTCAGCAGTGGAGCGCTTGTCTAGCACATGCGAGTCCCTGGGTTCAATCCTCAGCATCACATAAAAATAAATAAATAAAATAAAGGTATTATGTCCAACTACAACTAAAAAATAAAATATCAAAAAATTTTTTTAAATGAAAACAAGATGGGACAAGAAGAGGTGAGAAAGTTTGCTTATCACCTTTAGAAGGACAGCCACTGAGAATGAAAATGTGAGGATCAGGAGGAGGACAGGGTGTGCTTTATGTACCATAGAGGAATCGGACTTTCCCTTGAGTTGAGGAGGTAATCCATTTTCTGCATTTTTCTGTCTGGAGGCACTTGGACATCCAAGCAAGTTCAGACCACTCCCATTCCCATTAAAAGAGCTCAAAACTCAGACACCAAATGTTTGAACACATAAATGCAAAAATGTGTGAGTGCATACATTGCAGAATAGCTTATGAATTTGTCCACAAAGTACAATACTCAAATCCTTCTGAATGTAATGTATTTTATAAGACAAGCTTGGAAATCAAAGCTCTGTGCATGAATGTTACCCAACTCCTTAAATGTAAGCCTTTCTTCCAGTCTATGTCTCCAAGAAAAAAAAAAAACAATAGTAAAATGTAGCTGGACAAAATTATCAACCCTTTATAGACTCCAAAATTGGACACGACTTTGATGTTAATAAATTCAATGCAGAAGTCATTGTGTTCTAACTTTCCTATTAGAAAGCCAAATTCAAAGAATATGATCTTTTTTAGTCATGTGCAGAACTGAAGCTCCCAGAGGGCAAGAATTAAAAATTGATTTTTTAAAAAATCCCTCTAAAACTTAGCTGGATGTCTTTAACATAGTAGGTGTAATGTATACCCTTAGAGAAAACAAATTCATTGTACAAACAATCTCATTAAAACCACAGGCAGACATCTGGAGAATGTCTGCAAAGATTTAAAATCTCCCAACAAAGGTGCCTACGTTCACTTTGCTGGTGGAGGAAAAGTATGGAAAAAATAGAATTTTTTTTCCTCTGACATTATCTGTCTATCACATGTCTATCCCTCCATTTCTTGGGGGCACTTTTGAACATGAAAAAGCAGTATTTTTACATTAAATTATAAGCCATTGAAAAAGATACTTAGCTAACTTCATCTAGAGAGATTCTCTGTGGTCTGATAGACAGAAACTAAACAACTAATATAAATGCTTGATTTGTGTATCATGGTAAGAAGTGCAAGAGTTCTGGGGGTTTTAATATTTTTATGTACACATTTTATTTATTCAAATAATGTCTTCCTTCCTTTGAAAAAATATTTTGCTGTAAAAATGGGAGGTGAATTTCATGGAAAAAACACTGAAGGAGAATTTCAAAGAGTTCTCAGTTCTAAAAGAGGATATATATAAAACTAAGTTGAATAGAGTAAAAAGTATAAATGCTGAAGTACTGAGACCAAAAATGCAACTCAGGAGAGGGACAAATTTATCCTGTCAAAAACTGAATGGCATTGCATGGGGTGGGAGGTTGGGAGAAAATTAGGAGTGACTGTTAATGTGCGTGGGTTCTTTCAGGGATGAGGAAAATGCCCTGAAATTGGTTATAGTAACTATTCCACAATTCTGAATATACCAAAAACTATTAAATTGTACATTTGGGGTAAATTTAATACTGATATCAATATAAATTTATTAATATCTCCATAATGTGTTTTTTTTTTTTTTTTTTTTTGGTGCTGGAGATTGAACCCAAGATCTTGTGCATGTGAGGCAAGCACTCTACCAACTGAGCTATATCCCCAGCCCTCCATGATGGTTTTTGTTGTTGTTGTTGTTGTTGTTTTTTCTAAGTAAAGGGAAAGACCCAACAGAGAGTACTTTAAAAGATGAGCAAGTTAGGTTGGGGTTAGGATGGGGGTCGTAGAGTACTCTTTCAGGCAGATAGAAAATGAATTCAAGGATTAAATGAAATAGCATGACATGTTCAGGGAACTTCAGATGATTCAGGATTGAAATTTGAGTAGAAATCTGAAAGGAAGAACTGTAAAGAGGAGGCTGGGGTAGCAGGAAAAGGCCACATCATGAAGTCTTTTCACCTATGCCAAGGGACTTGGCTCTCATCCTGAGTTGTGCACAATGAGGAGACTCAGGCTCTTCATTCTCTGCCCTCCTGTCTCCTCAAAGACTTGCTCCATTGGTTGCTTCAGGAGAATTTCCACCAGCTTCTATAAACCTGTTTCCATTCTCCTGCCCCTATTTTCCTTCTATTACCACCTTAATCACTTTTCTAGAAAGAACAGTTTATGATAAATGCCTTACTTTCTCACCTCCTGTCCACTTTGCTATAATTATATTTCTGTTCCAATATTCCCCTGAAGTTGCTTCAGCAAAAATCACCAGTCACTTTCTAACTCTCAAATCCAGGAGATGACACTGAGTCCTTTCCTTATCTGCTCATTTTGGCCTCTTTTTTCTGATACTCCTCACTCTTGTTCACTTTATGATACACCTCCATTTTCAACCTTCTTCTCTTATTATTCCTTCTTATTATATTCTGCCTGCACTAAAAGTCACGGTTCCCCATGGCTCAATTCTAAGTCCTCTTCTCTTCTCATACCTTCTCTTTAGGTTGATCTTACTCTTATAATGTTACTTAAGATTTATACATAAATGTAGACCAGAGATGGAATCTCAAGTTTTGGCTAATGTTGATCATTACCTACTAGGCATCTGCATACAGTAGCATTTATTAAACATCACTGGATATTTATTAGAAATCAAAGTCAGCGCTGTGTGCTTATGACTATCACTAAGAATAAGGCACTTCCCCTGCCCCTTGGAGTAGGCATAAACACTAGGTTAGAACTACTTATTTCAGGAACCCAGAGGATCAGCAGTGAACCCTGCCCTGGGAGCCAGTAATATCTTGGTAGAGGAGGTGATGTGTAAAATTAACTTTAAACCCTGTCAAAGAGAAAAGTGCCACTTGAAGACAAAGGCAAAGGGCATTCCAAGCAAAGAACATAGGGTTAGCAAATGAGAAACTGCAAAGAGCAACTTGGAGCATTTAGCAAGGAAAGCTCAAACAGAGGCTTGGGATCACACAGACTCTTAATGTGTACATGGGACTGGAGCAAGATAGGTTGAAAACAGAGGCAGAGCAAGAACACATAGGGTCTCCAAGGTATTGTAATGTTAAAGAACTCTGACTTATCCAACAGTGTAGATAACAGGAGGGTGCAGTTGATGGAAGATGTTAGTGAAGTGGTCAGATCTGCCTTTTAGAAGAGAATTGTGTGCTCATAACATGGAAGACAAGTTGGGAGTAGAGGAAAAGACTGGGGACAGGAATATACATGTTCTTTTCTATATTCGGCACTACTGTTGATATGACTGTTGATAGTCATGAAAACCACTATGAGTGTATCATCTCTCCTGGGGCCCAGTTTTTTTTCTGCTTCATACACATATGCATGAAACACAGCTTATTTTTATGTAATCATTAAAGTGTTTCCACTTGCCAGACGCTCCAACATTGGGCATCCATCTACAAGATTAATAATAGCCTTGTACAGATGAAGTAAAATTTCTTGCCAAAGTTTAATAGAGTTTGCTTTTTTCCACTTTCAATCCCCAATGCACATACAGCCATGCACTCTGCATATTGGCTCTCCAATTCAACAAGCACAATATAAACAACAGTGAATAAGCTGCTCATACTCACGGTGAGTGTTGAACAGTCAGAGACATTCAACTCTTGCAAGTTTCTACAGTGGCCTAAAATCAAACAAGTTACACATTACTAAACAATATATTACAGATGTTTAAGCTTTTAAATGTTTAAATAAAAATTTAACATTTTAAATAGAACTTTGGAAGTTTTTCCATCCTACATTCAATGTGATGCATTCATTAGAAAACAAACAGAAACCTTGGAAATCATGTGTTCTAAGTATATGAGTGTCTTTTCCCAGAAAAACGATTTCTTTTGGCTTCAAATACAAAATATATACACATGTTTATTACTGTTTGAGGCTTACCAAAGGAAGGGAAGAAGAGAAAAATATAACTTAGGGAAAAACACTAAATACTTAAAAAGCTTTTAGTTTAGAACACTTGAAGAAAACATACTTGCTTTTTGTGCATGAGTTTTTATTCATTTTTTTCTTTTAAAATTATGAAAAATTTCAAACACAATAATTGAAATAGTTGCATAATGAGGACTTATAACTATCTAGATTATAATTTATATCTTACTGTTTTCTTTATTACATACACCCATCCATCTCTCAATCCACTCCTCATTCCATCTTATTCTTGTACACATTTCAAAGGAAATTGCAGACATCAGCATGCATAATATTATTTAACATGCATAATAACAAACAAAAAATTTGCTGTGTTTGTTTAGTTTAGGTTTACATACAATTCACAATGAATTGCAGACAGAGAAGTGGAAGGTTAGAAAGACTAAATGCCTGATTAGATTAGCTCTAGGTCCAGAGGCCACTGCACAGTTTATGCTTTCTTAGAGAACATAAGATGTGAGTATTCAATTAATCCCACTATTATGGATGATTACAATGCACCAATAAAAAAAATAAAACTAATCATATGTGCTGGGGGTGTAGCTCAGAGGTACAGTGATCCCCAGCATTAGGGAGAAAAAGAAGTAAATATAAACAAAACAAAAAGACACGCACACAAATAGCTAGACAGTGAAGTGTTACACAATCTGTGTCTTGAAAGCAGCTAGGGAGGATACACAGACCAGTGAATGGGGAGAATGCTTAAGAAGAGGATGAAAGGCATTCAAGGTGGAGGAGACCCCATGAAGCAGGAAAACTCCAGGCAAGGGGTGATACTAACATCAAAATGCTACAATGAATAGAAAGCACATCCGTCACTCATAACCACATAGTCCCATGCTACTAACAATGGACGTGTTATTAGTTATAAATCCATTTGAACATTTCTTCCTTTACCAAGAGTGGACTTTATCCTAAGTGATAAATGCCAATCAGAAATATTTTTAGAACTGTTTTTTTAATATTTATTTTTTAGTTGTAGTTGGACACAATACCTTTAATTTTACTTATTTGTTTTTATGTGGTACTGAGGATCAAATCACCTAGGGTCTCACCCATGCTAGGCAAGTGCTCTACCGCTGAGCCATAACCTCAGCCCCACAGAATTGTTTTAAGAAATAAAAACAATGCTTAAAAATGTTCAGATCATGGAAGTCCACCCAGTAAAACTTAAGAAAAAACGAGATTCCCCAAACAACATGGTAGTTTATGAGATAAATGTTCTTACAGAATAGTTATATGAAAGTAATTCATACTTTCAATATATATATATATATATATTTTTTTTTTTTTTGAAGAAATACAGTAATGAGCAGAATAGACAAACAGCCTTACTGTTGGGAAGTTTATTTACTAGTTAAGGGAGGCAATAAACAAAAGAAATCAAATATTTACAGTGACAGATGCTGATGGAGAAAAATAAAACAAGAAAGTTGATTTGAGAGTGCCTAAGGAAGGAGGGGTGGTGCAAGTCTAAATAGGGCTGAAAGAGAAGGCTTCAGTTAGCAGGTGGCATTTGAACCCAGGAGATCACAAGGACAATGCCATTTACTCTGAGCATTTCTGAAGCCATACTCAATATGACTGGGGATTGAAGACAGTAAAGGAAAGAAGCACAGCCATTAGAATCTTACTCTTTTTTGCAAATTTCAAGGATATAAGGAGAGTTCCTTTAATTTCCTATAAGTTTCACTTTTCATCATTCCGAGTCCTGACATTTGTGCAGGACATTCCCTGGGCTGGGTATTCTAAAGTACCTTACAATGCATGAGCCCCTTTCATTCTCCCCACCACATTAGGAGGGATCTTTGGTCCCATTTTACAGATGATGAAGATTAGGTTAAATAACTAGCTGAGCATCACATAATCAAGCAGGTAGAAGAGCCTTAATTTAAACTGAGGGCCCAAACATTTGAACACTAAACAAGGTAAGGAAGAGAATGTCAAGCCTTCTATACCACTGATTTGAAACGCCTTTCTAAACCAGGAAGGTGTTTGCTTAAAAAAGACTGCTATTTCAGTCACACACAATATTTGCAATGATTTTTAACTTTTAATGTGTTTTTCTGTTCCAATCTAGGAACTCTGAATCTCCCAGCTGGGTCTCATTGTTCCTGAACTGCATTTAGTTAAGATTACCCAAATTTGGATTTCAAAGGAATACTTTCTTTGTTCCATCTGTCACACCAAAGAATTGGGGCCAGCTGGATGTCAGGATGCGCGTGGTTACTATTGTAATATTGCTTTGCTTTTGCAAAGCTGCTGAGCTGCGCAAGGGAAGCCCTGGCAGTGTAAGAAGTCGAACAAATCATGGCCGGGCAGGTGGGAGCCGGAGAAGCTCCAACCCAGTAAAGCGCTACGCACCAGGTCTCCCCTGTGATGTGTACACATATCTCCATGAGAAATATTTAGACTGTCAAGAAAGAAAATTAGTTTATGTGCTACCTACCTGGCCTCAAGATTTGCTGCACATGCTTTTAGCAAGAAACAAGATCCGCATATTGAAAAACAACATGTTTTCCAAATTTAAAAACCTGAAAAGCCTGGACCTGCAACAGAATGAGATCTCCAAAATTGAGAGTGAAGCCTTCTTTGGCTTAAACAAACTTACCACCCTTTTACTACAGCACAACAAGATCAAAGTCTTGAAAGAGGAGGTGTTCATATATATGCCTCTCCTGAGCTACCTGCGACTCTATGACAACCCCTGGCACTGTACTTGTGAGTTAGAAACCCTCATTTCAATGTTGCAGATTCCAAAGAACCGAAATTTGGGAAACTATGCCAAGTGCGCAAGCCCACATGAACTAAAAAATAAAAAATTGCTGCAGCTAAAATCTGAACAGTTGTGTAATGAAGAAGAAAAGGAGCAATTGGACCCAAAACCCCAAGTATCAGGGAGACCCCCAGTCATCAGGCCTGAGGCAGACTCAACTCTGTGCTACAATTATGTGTTTCCCATACAAACGCTGGACTGCAAAAGGAAAGGTATGTTTCTTCCTTTTTCATTTTCATGGCCTGTTAGAAATGTTCTTTGAGTCTTATAATCCTCCTTACACCCCATCATACCTTCAAATTTTTGTCACTTCCACCAGAATTTTTTTTCCCAATGACAACAGAATCAACAGACCCCAGATTTTCTGGGGTCAAACAAGGTGGTTGGCAATTAGGGGACAGTAGAAGAGGCATGAAGTATCCCCTACTTGTTCCTGAACTGCATTTAGTTAAGATCACCCAAACTTGGATTTCAGAGGAATACTTTCTTTGTTCCATCTGTCACACCAAAGAATTGCAGCAATTTGGATCCTACTTATTTGCTCATCATAAGTTGTGGCTATAAGGAATTCCTCTTATCTTAAATCCAATTTAACTTATGTAGGGAAAACCAATGGGTATGAAAACAGGTGCAAATGCCATCTATGTCTATGTGACTTGACTTACATAAATTAAAGGTGTACATCTGTGAAGGAACAAAGTGTACATGGTGTACATCTGTGGAGGAACAACCTCAATAAAAAAAACATCTGCAGAACAAGACAGAGGACAGAATTCTGAGAGGACAGCACTCTGAGACAGAAGCCAAGCACTATAGTGATAGTGCTTCTGTATTTCATGCTTAGTCCCAAGGTTTTAATAAATACTTGCTAGTGTCCTACATCTTTAGGGTCCCCATATTATCCAGAAAAGGACCAAAAAGAATATTTAAAGAACTAAATCTAAAGTATTTAATCTAAGACTATGAGACTAAGGAAATCTTTCTGGAATATTACTTACTCTCTGCAAATCACTACCAGGTTTTCCATCCCACACAATCTTGTGCTAGTGCTGTGCAGGATTTGCACTTATAGGATAAAGTCCTGAACTAAGAAACAGATGGGAGATTTTACTAATGTTCTTGACAGGTTAGTGAAGATGGATATTATCAAAGTGTGGAGCAGGAACTGCTAATCTACTACATAATAACGAACCATTATAACAATGTTTATATGTGTCATTTCTGGCATGGCCTAATAATTTATGAGTAAAAACAATTACTATTTAAAGTCATATATCACTGGATTAGAGTCATAAAGAGCATTATATCATTTCCTCCATCTATTTTAGGAGGCTTTGCTTTGTTTTGTTTATTTGAGGGCAAGAGAAAGGGAAAGTTAAAAGAGCATAAGGGGCCCCTCTCAAGAGAAAACAAGTCAGGAATTTGTTAATGGTGACAAATCAGACAACCTGAGCCAGGAGTACATTTGTTTACTTTTAAGCAAAGTTGTGCTTAAGCTTTACCACTCTCTCCCTGGCTCTGAAGGTGACACCTGGATAAGCACATCACAACCATGTGGCATGGAAAGGTTTGTCTACAAGATGGCCTGTGATTTGTATGTAATTTGATGCCAGAGAGGAGCAGTTACAGCCTCATAACCTGGAACATGCTATGCTGAGTTCCTCTGAATTTGAGATAAGGTGCTAACTTAAAACCTACTAGGCTGGCGAGGATGTGGGGGAAAAGGCACACTCATACATTGCTGGTGGGACTGCAAATTGGTTAAGCCAATATGGAAAGCAGTATGGAGAGTCCTTGGAAAACTTTGCAATGGAACCACCATTTGACCCAGCTATCTCACTTCTTGGTCTATACCCAAAGGACTTAAAAACAGCATAATACGGGAACACAGCCACATCAATGTTTATAACAGCACAATTCACAATAGCTAAACTGTGGAACCAACCTAAATGCCCTTCAGTAGAGGAATGGATTAAAAAAATGTGGCATATATACACAATGTAATATTACTCAGCAATAAAATCATGGCATTTGCAGATAAATGGATGGAGTTAGAGAAGATAATTCTAAGTGAAGTTAGCCAATCCCAAAAAGACAAATGCTGAATGTTTTCTCTGATATAAGGAGTCTGACTCTTAGTGGGGTAGGGAGGGGGAGCATGGGAGGAACAGACGAACTCTAGATAGGGCAGACAGTTTGGAAGGGAAGAGAGGGGGTTAGCAATGATGGTGGAATATGATGGACATCATTATCCAAAGTACATGTATGAAGACATTAAATGGTGTGAACATACTTTATATACAAACAGAGATATGAAAAATGTGCTCTATATGTGTAATAATAATTTTAATGCATTCCACGGTCATGTATTTAAAAAATAAAATCAATTTATAAAAAAACAAAAAAGCTACTATGCTCCAACAACCCTAATTTTCAGGATGGTAGTAGTGTGCCCAAACATAGGTGAGTAAAACGAGGTTCATGGAAGTCCAGTCAGTTGGTCAAGGCCTCAAAAGTAAGCAGCAAAGCTATATTTGAACCTTGGTCCGATCCCCAATGAGCATCCTACTTCACGATGCTGTCTTCCAGAATAATCTGACCATGTTCAAAACAAGTATTGCCTCAACAAGAAGCAATAGAAAATTCCAAAAGACTTGGTAGATGTAATTTTTTTTGTAGCAATATTGGGTAGAATTTTCCCTGTTATGGTTATGGAGAGTAATTAGAGCTTCATGCTAAAGAATGTATGTTTACTAGAATTTCCTTTGTGATGCTTAGAATTATACATTTTGAACAAATACAAAGCAACTATCCTAAAGTTGTCCTAGAATACTTTATATGAGGTTCTACAGTTCAGGTTAAGTTAATTTGTCCTTGCTGCAGCAGGTATCAAAGAGAAAAGTAGGATTAAGGTCATTAATTTTCTGAGAAAAATACTATCTATACAAAATTTAAGACTTCTTACAGCTCTCTGAAGAGATAACATATTTTTCTTTTTTAACTATCTTTTTATTCTTGGGCCATTCCCCTCAGTTAGCCTATTTCTGCTTTTGTTTTGAGTTTCATTTTTTTTCCATAATTTTTTCTTTTTCTTTTGAAAAAATACATTATTTTATGATGTTCTTTTATCAACTTATTGTTGTTTACATACAATCTCCCAGACATGTGCCATAAATTCATCCCCCTGCTTCAAAAATATACATTTTATTTAGTGGGATACAATATGAAGTTTTATGACATACAAATTTAAACAATCCAATAGTAGATCGTACATTAATGGACAACACAAGCTCCCCTAAATGTTAGTGACTATGTATATAATTCATAGCCTATACTTTCCTTTCCAAAATACACTTCGAATTTTAATTGACAGTAATTATATGTACTTATGGGATTCAGTGTAATTTTTTAAAAAATATTTTTTTAGTTATAGACAGGTACAATATCTTTAATTTGTTTATTCATTTTTATGTGGTGCTGAGGATCAAACCCAGTGCCTCACATGTGTGAGGCAAGTGCTCTGCCACTGAGCCACAACCCCAGCCCCACAGTGTGATATTTTAATACATGCATATGATATAAATGATCAGATCAGGGTAACTGGCACATCCATCACCTCAGATGTTTACCATTTGTGTTGGAAACATTCAAAATCCCCTCTAAGAGCTATTTCAAAATATACAAATAATGTTGCTAACCACAGCTATTCTACTGTGCTACAGAACATTAGAAGTTATTCCTTCTTCTATCTGCACCCTGTACGTTTTAACCATTCTCTCTCCATCCTCCTCCCACACCCTTCCCAGGCAGAGTATATACTCTAAGATTATAAAATGGAGGATAATTTTGCCTTTTTAGCACTATAGATGGTTCACCATTGTTTATATAAATCTACTGATTCACTTGATCATTTATTCTTCATTTATTTATTATTTATTTATTTATTTATAGTTGTAGTTGGGCACAATATCTTTATTTTATTTATTTATTTTTATGTGGTGCTGAGGATCGAACCCAGTGCCTCATACATGCTAGGCAAGTGCTCTACCTCTGAGCCACAACCCCAGCCCCTATTTTTTATTGTTTTTTACTATAGTGTCAGTTCCTATGTAAAGGCAGAGGGCTTATTATGAAGTCAAACAACAACAAGTGCTGGCGAGGATGTGGGGAAAAGGGTACACTTGTACATTGCTGGTGGGACTGCAAATTGGTGCAGCCAATTTGGAAAGCAGTATGGAGATTTCTTGGAAAGCTGGGAATGGAACCACCATTTGACCCAGCTATTCCCCTTCTGGGTCTATTCCCTAAAGACCTAAAAAGAGCATGCTACAGGGACACTGCTACATCGATGTTCATAGCAGCACAATTCACAATAGCAAGACTGTGGAACCAACCTAGATGCCCTTCAATAGACGAATGGATAAAAAAATGTGGCATTTATACACAATGGAGTATTACTCTGCATTAAAAAATGACAAAATCATAGAATTTGCAGGGAAATGGATGGCATTAGAGCAGATTATGCTAAGTGAAGCTAGCCAATCCCTAAAAAACAAATGCCAAATGTCTTCTTTGATATAAGGAGAGTAACTAAGAACAGAGTAGGGATGAAGAGCATGAGAAGAAGATTAACATTAAACTGGGATGAGAGGTGGGAGGGAAAGGGAGAGAGAAGGGAAATTGCATGGAAATGGAAGGAGACCCTCAGGGTTATACAAAATTACATACAAGAGGAAGTGAGGGGAAAGGGAAAAATAACACAAGGGGGAGAAATGAATTACAGTAGAGGGGGTAGAGAGAGAAGAGGGGAGGGGAGGGGAGGGGAGGGGGGATAGTAGAGGATAGGAAAGGCAGCAGAATACAACAGACACTAGTATGGCAATATGTAAATCAATGGATGTGTAACTGATGTGATTCTGCAATCGGTATATGGGGTAAAAATGGGAGCTCATAACCCACTTGAATCAAAGTGTGAAATATGATATATCAAGAACTATGTAATGTTTTGAACAACCAACAATAAAAATTTAAAAAAAAAGGCAGAGGGCTTGTCTATTATACTCCCTTTAGTAGTGCCTGGCCAGGGCCATGTACTTTAGATTGGTGAAAATAATTCAGAGGTTTTTCTTTGCTCAAAAAAAAAAAAGGAATTTAAGAAACCTTTAAAAATAAAAATACATATGTTAGAAATCATAGCTAGAATATAAGCATGACAACCTGAATTTATCTGATCTAATTTTTCTTATTCCATTCTATAAATGAGTAACAAATGTTAAATATGAAAAATAAATGCTTAGCAATGTGCATCTCTAGCTCCCTGCCAGAAAGTAGTAATGCTTTTGATAATTATGCTTCACATTTTAGACACTGTATAGAATCTAAGGAGGCCTAAAACATGCCATCAAGAGAGGAACTAGCAGTAATATTAATGAATAACAGCTAGTACCTATATGCTCCATGCAGTGAGACAGAGGTTTTTTTGTTTTTGTTTTTTAAAATTTTTATTTATATATGATAGCAGAATGCATTACAATTCTTATTACATATATCAAGCACAATTTTTCATATCTCTGGTTGTATATATAGTATATTCACACCAATTTGTGTCTTCATACCTGTACTTTAGATAATAATGATCATCACATTCCATCATCATTAATTACCCCATCCCCCCTCTCGTCCCTTCCAAACTGTCTGCCCTATCTAGAGTTCGTCTATACCTCCCATGCTCCTGCTGCCTATCCCACTATGAATCAGCCTCCTTATATCAAAGGAGACAGAGGTTTATACGCACTGTCATTTACTCCTCACAACCCTAAAAGAAGTATTATTACTTTGATTTTATAAGTGATATATATCTCTAAACCTTCTCTGAAGTATAGAGAAGCTAACTTGCCCTTCAAAGATCACACAAGTTGTCAGTAACACAGTTTTCAAGTCATTAGCCACCAAGTAATGCCATCTCTCCCTTCAAGATTCTGGCTGTTATATATTATATGAAGAATTATTAATGTTTCCTGTACAATTCCTCCCAGTATTGAAGCCTCCTTTTAAGCTCTTTAGAAAAATACACATAATTGCATAGAGAGAATCTGCAATACAGATCCCTCTAGTGGGAGTTGAGCCTTTCCTAACTGACTTAACAATGAGTCAGATGGTATGCGTAGGGTCCCTAATGCCAATTCAACCACATAGACCTCAAAGATCACTATTTTTGCCTTAAAAATCTGACAGCAAGAAATAAAATAATAGTTTCTTTACTGAGAGACAGGCACTTTGCCAACAAAACTTAAGTCTTTCAAAGGGAATAAAATGTAGGATTAGTTGAAAGGTACATTTATGCCATATTGAGGTAAATGCATTTGCTAAGAACACAGGAAAACAGAGTTATTAAACTGCTTTTAACTTCACATTTACCAGGATAATTTACCATTTTCACTTCAAAGGTCAGGCTAGGGCAAATTGTGTAGGTAAATTGTCTCCAGCTGCCTCTGATGATAAAGACACAATTTTTTCCCTAAATCAAACTGTTGAGGATTTTTAAGTTTGCAATAAACAGGGTCATTCATCTCCTTAACTCCTACAACCAAGCTTTCAAATTAATTCTGAGGTTGCTGACAACCAAGATAACTACTAAATGGGGGAAATTAGAGGGAGAAACTTTCCCAATTCCCTCCTCAAAGTCAGTAAGGTTTGGTTGGAGGAGAAGCAAGATCTGTAAAGAATAATAATCAAGCAAATATGGCATTGTCAGGGCATTTCTGAAGACTTTGGGTAGCAATAAACATGAACTCTGGATACCATGTGATGCCTGATCTAGAAATGGGGATATTGAAGAAATTTGACTTCTGGCCTGAGGAAATATTTATTTATACATTCTTTATGGAAGACAAACATACTTAGCATCAAGATTTACAATTCTTATTCAAGTTCTATAGTAAAGAACTATTTTTACTCATCAATACAAGAAGTAAGATTTTCCCTCTTCTCAAAGAAATACTAGTAAAAGCATTGGTTTACATTTCCTGGTACTACTTGTGGATCCTATTTTTATCCAGGATTTCTGCTGACAACCCCAAAGTTGGTTTTGTAATTCATATTCCTTTGCCAGCATCCACAGATCTGCCACTTTGCTCAAGTTGGGTTCCAGAGTGTTTGCGTAAACATTTTTTGCTATCCATTTACTTGTGGCTAACCCACTTTAGCTTGTCCCTCAGAGGTTGTTGTGTTACCCTCTTGTCCAGCCTAGTAGCTGTGGATTTGGCAAGCAAGTTCTGATAAACAGGCTGATTTATAGAATCTAGAAGGTGCTGACTCTGGTGACCAAGATGCCCTACAACCCTCAATGGCTTATAGGGCTTCAGTGAGTACTCATCCTGGCTTTCATTCATTTTGAGATGGGAAGCCATTGGATGGATTCTGCCATCTGGTCTGTCAGGATCACATAGGCTTAGGACATTATTGGAATAATCCAGATAAGAAGTGATGACTTGGATCAATGTGGTAGCAATGGAGGAAGTAAGAAGAAGTGGGATTCTGGGTATTTTGAAATAAAATTCTGCTCTGCTTTTTCAAGATTTCTATTACAAGATACTATAGCCATTCTCAATAATTATCCCAAATTCTAAGTGTCAAAAAAATTATTTCTTCTGTCTTTCCTTGACTTCAATTGTCTGTGGTTTTCAAATAATACTAAGATTTGTTAGAAATATTTGAAGGCTATTGGTCACCTTTAATTCCTTGCCATAGGGGCCTCCCTAACATGGCAGTTCGTTTCATCAAAGCCAATTAAAGAGGGATCTGCTAGCAAGATGGAAGTCACATTCTCTTGTAACCCAAGTACAGAAGCAATATCCCACTACGTTGGCTACATTCTCTTGGTTAGAAGCAAGTCACTAGGTTCATCCATACTCAAAGGAGAGGTTTATATGCAGGGGCATGAATATCTGTAGTAGGGATTATTTGCTGCCATCATAGAAGTTACCTGCCACACACCACTTATCTATTTACTCTGGCACTGTCCCAACTCTCCCTCATGCAGATTCTATGGAGGAAGGGAGGGAAGGGGAGCAAAAAACAAGGGGGAAAAAATCAGTAAAATGTATACTATGTCTGATGTTGATAACTACCACTGAGGAAAGGAAAGCAGGAAATGGTATTATTCATGGCCAATCCAATAGATGTTTTAAATGACTTTTATTAGAGGACACTTATAATTATTCCATTTTATTACTGGGTATTATTAACCTTATGTGCCTACTTTATAAATTAATCTTTATCACAGGTCTAGATGTATAGGTAAAAATCAGTATACCTGGAGTTTCATACTATCTATGGTTTTAGACATCCACTGGGGGTCTTGGGATGTATCCTCCTGAGGATAATGGGAGACTACTGATTACTGCTGCTTAAGATCATGGAGGTCATGAGCTTTTCATTTGTTTTTAGAGTGAAGCAAATTGAGCTTAGTTGTGAGCAGAGGGAATCTAAAAAGAAGGATAAAATGAAGATACAAATAAAAAAGCAATATTATTAGAAAATTCAGAAGTAGAAAGAGAGTGGGAGGAGACAGGCTTACAGCAGTTTGGTTTGCAGTTGTTTGACTTATAGATTTTATTTGATTCTTTTTTTCAAAAACTTCCCTGGCAACTACTGGTAGCTGGAACTAAGTCCTACCTTCCTCTTTGGCTACCTATATGGCACTGCCTGCTGTTTCTCCTCTTGGTTTTCTACCATTGCATCTAGGGAGTTTCTTTGAACAGCTCAGCAAGGATTGACAGTCCTTCCTCTAAATTTGATGCACTTGATTCACTGGGCTTTGACAGAATTTAGCAAACACTAAGACTTGCTCATACCAGTTTTCTTTGGCTCTAGATATCCTTACACATTATCTTTAAGAGTTAATTCTTCAATCACATGAGTTTAGCAGTGAAGAGAGACCTAGAGCAAGGAGCGCTCCAATACTAAATAAAATAACCTAAATACTATTAATTTTTCCAGAGTTGAAGAAAATTCCAACCAACATCCCTCCAGATATTGTTAAACTTGACTTATCATACAATAAAATCAACCAACTTCGACCCAAGGAATTTGAAGATGTTCATGAGCTTAAGAAATTGAACCTCAGCAGTAACACCATTGAATTCATAGACCCTGGTAAGTTTCATTGAATATCAGCCCCTTAAATGGGGCTCTTCTGTGATTTCTCTTTTATAGCAACATTTACAGTAAATAGTTTTAAAAAACTAAACTAAGCTAAATAATTAAAAAGTATGAATTTTAATCAAGTGTAGCACTTAAATTAGGACTTGTTTGGCACTGAAAGAAACAGCTGCCAAAAGTTGCTTTGTAAAGTATGTGTTACAGTCACCGACTGTGATGTGTATTCATTTAGCCCAAATAAATTATTTTGTAGAATAGATTTTTTTAAATGGAAAGATATGGCAAGTGATCACTGATACAGTGAACATGTAACAGTTTTTAAACAGAAATTCAGATGTGGCATTTTATTTGCCAACTTGCTTAGAGTAAATTTGAAACTAATTGCTAAATACAACCCTCACAAATTAAGATAAAATATGCTCAAACCAGAGCAAGACATGTTATTTCTCATCCTAAATAAAGATCAGTTCTCTTTCCAACTTCACATCTCTTCTCTATTTGCTAAGAAAAGCCTCTGGCAAAAAAAAAAAAAAAACTGAACTTAAAACATACAAGATGCAGAAGGAACTGAGAATTACTGAAACAATGGTAAGATGTGCTACATACAGAATACATGTGCTTTTTATGAAGCTACTTAAATTTGAAAAGTCCTAACTATAACAAAATTACTAATATTATTAATAATCAAATATAATGTTATAAACATTTTGAATGCAATTATTTCTCTGACTTTTCTTAATGGTAATCTAGTACTATTAATAAACCTTAGAATTTTAACATGATAGAAGTGAAAATTAAGGACGAATATTCTGGAGCCACAAAGGCATATTTTAAGATTAACATCTTTTAAAAATATTACAAAATTGTAATTTTTAAAATTTCTTAAAGGGACAGCAACGTGCTATACTCACACCTTCGCCTATATAAATATGGCAAATTTGAAAGTATCTTTGAATGGCAAGACCAAACGCAATTTTCACTTCACATTAAATAAGAACACCATAGAAACACTCTTCTCCCACATGAAGCGCTAATTTTCCTAGTGTGCAGGTCAATAACCAGTAGCTAATCTCTACAAAGCCAGGAGGCAGAGAGTGAAGGATCTGGAGGTGGAGATGCTTTCTTTGCCCCAGGAGAACCAAAGACCAACAGGACAAGTATGCCATATCCAAGGTCCCTGGGCAAGTGTCCAATTTCTTTCTGATGCTGTCATCTACAGCAATAGCTTACCAACTATCAAAAGTGTGGGTGCAAGGACTGAGGATGTGGCTCAGAGGCAGAGGGCTTGGCCAGCATGAACAAGGCCCTGGGTTTGACCTCCCAACTGGAAAAAGAATGAAGAGGTGGGGAAAAAACAGAAAAGAAAGAAAAAAGAAAAACAGTATGGATGCAAAGAAGTTTTAGATCTTTCTCAAAAAATAAATAAAATGTTAGTTATTATATGGCCCAAGTTAAACATATTAAAAGCAGTGAATAATAATGCAATAATGTTATAATTACAGGAAAACTACAGTATATAAAGAACACTGGCGAAAAAATGAAAGGAGACAATACAGAGACAGATGATAGCTAGAAAATGGATTTATTTTACTTCCAATCATATTTTTTCTTCATCATTTATAGAATTCACGAAATTGCAAGGATTTCTTTCCCATCCTTAGGATCCTTTTAATGTTGTTCACCCTATGAATTTTCCTTGCTGACATTTGACTTGATCCCTATTTATCAGCAGTGATACCCAGTTTTTAATAAATTCATTCAGTTCAATCCAAGGAAAGTATTTCCTACACTAATAAATATGTATTGTGCACCTACTAAATGCCAGCCACTTTTTGTGGGAGTATGTCCTTTGGAACAAAAAAATGTATCTCAGCACTTAAATAAGGCAAAATAACCTAAAGGAGTTTTCAGATAAAAGACCTACTATGTTCTAGGATCTTTGAGATGAAACACTGCCAAAGTAGACTTACTTTAATGATTTTGCCTGGCAAGTATGCAAATGCAGTGAGAATTTCATGAATAATAATCTTACGAAATGCCAGGAGTTACTGTGGAAAAGGGAAAGAAGTCACCCTACGAGTCGTTTTACCTCCTTTAAGAAACAGATGAAAACTAGCTTTCCCAAGTGCCTAGATTCATATGGTTTAAGTGACAACTATAGTACTTCCAAAATAAAATTTAAGAATATTTACACATGCTTTTGGGTGGAATCAGTTTAAGAAAAGACAATTTGTGAAATCATTGACATACAGAATTTTAACAAATAGAAAAAAAATGCAATGTCTTCAGCACTATAATCACAAGGACTGAACTTTTGTTTCCCCCACTCCCACCTAGACCCCCAAGCCATTGCTTTGTATCAAAATATAAAATATATTTTTAGGGGGAATTTCGGTTTTGTCTGAGAACAGATGATATGAAAATAGCTAATGGTATTGGTATGACAGCATATTTTCCAAATTCAAAAATGAGAATACTATGCTCTAACAAGGGCATTTTAAAACAGTAATGAGAAAATGGCTGAAATAGAAACAATATATCTGAAATCAGGATTAACCTATAAATTCTGAAATTATCTGTTTAGTTCATATCAACTAAAATAGAATTAAGATAGGATATTCTTTGCTCTTGGAGGAAAAAAAAACTTTGTTGTTTTATTTTGTTATGTTTTGATATTTGTTCTAATTATTCACCCTCTAGCAAAATTAAATACATATGGATCCAAGGCAGACAGCTTCCATAGCTTGCCAAATACAACCAGATGTTCTCATAACATTAGCAGATTGTTTGGGGACTCTACAGAATTAGAATCTTTCCCCTCAAAACTGGGAAAAGACTGTTTTCTAGGCATTTTTAGAATTTACTGATATCCCAGGAAGCTATCAAATCATCAACAGTCACACTTCTCATTTTTTCTGTACTCAAATCTTACATTTGAAATATTTTTTTCCCACCCCCCTTTCCCTCCCTCCCTCCCTCCCTCTCTCTCTTTCCCTCCCTCTTTTGGTGTCATATTTCTAGTAAGCATAAAATAATGCATATCAGAAAATACTGTTTTAAAAGCTAACCTAAAGCTGACTTTTCAAATCAAACGCTGTATACTAGTCAATCTAATCAAGGGGAAAGCTTTGTTTGAATAAAAATATGTTTTAGAAAGTATGCATTTAAATAGGCATAGTGGGAAAATAGAATTTTTTAAAAATCTCCTCCCAACCCAGACATCCTCTCCACAAAGGTAGTAAAGAAAAAAAGAAAAACACTTTCATTATTGAATAAACTTTATACCAGAATGAGATGCACAGCATAGGCAATCACTAACACATTGCAAAGACAGAGAGAATCTTGTCTTTTATATACTACCCATTACATACATGTTTTAAGGATAAACAAGTTCTCAAGTAATAGAACTTGATATTACATTTTATTACATATAGCTCATTCTAACTTTATCAGGTAGTCTTGCAACTGGAAGCAAAATGCCACCAAAATTAGGCTCCTGGCCTTACAGAAACTGGGATACAAGGGCTTATTTTAGTTGATGTTTTCATTTCAAAAAGATGGCTCCCAAGTCCTTGAGAAAGACATTCCTGGATTTTAATGGTGACAAATGGCCTATCTAGTCTTTAAAAGGATTTAAAGACATTTCAAAGAGAGGAGAAAGTGGTTATATTTACAAATTTTCTGTAAATGTCTGAGAAAAAGGAGAGAAGGGAAAACTTCCTTTATTTTCAACAGGGAGAATCAAACTTCTTATTTTTAATTTGTATTTATCCTTACAACTCACTATAGATCGTTGCATTAACTCAATTATTCATTGGTTTAATAAATATTTTCTGTTTCTAGCTGCCTTTTTAGGGCTCACACATTTAGAAGAGCTGGATTTATCAAATAACAGGCTGCAAAACTTTGACTATGGAGTATTAGAAGACTTGTATTTTTTGAAACTCTTATGGCTTAGAGATAATCCTTGGAGATGTGACTACAACATCCACTACCTCTACTATTGGTTAATACACCACTACAATGTCCATTATAATGGCCTGGAATGCAAAACACCAGAAGAATACAAAGGATGGTCTGTGGGAAAATATGTCCGGAGTTACTATGAAGAATGCCCCAAAGACAAGTTACCAGCATACCCTGAGACATTTGACCAGGATACAGAAGATGACGAATGGGAAAAAATACACAAGGATCATACAACAAAGAAACAAGGTGTAAGAATCACTATAGTGGGATAACTTAGAATTGCTCTGGCTGTAAATAGTCTCCTATTTGCTATACTGGTGTGAGAAAAACCATATGTTTACATTTTGATTAACTGTGTTACCTATTTATGTAGCGTTATCAGGTATATAAAGGTTTCCTTTTTTATCTCATAATTGTTATTACATTATGACAAGTATAGTAATCAAGAGAATACTGTCACCCTGCATGTCTGTCCATTGGTGGAGCAGCCTCTGCTGATACACGATTCCATGCTGGTAACCTGCAGGAGTTGGGTCCTAGTAATGGCATTAGAATTTCATAATGTCCTGTATAATTGTTTTTACTGCTTTTGGGGGGTGGGGAAACTTGGTTTGTTTTAACATGCCTTTTAATAGCTGTCTGTCAATATCTAAAGATGATCAAAATGAAAAGATACAAATGCTTAATCATAATAAAATGTTATTCCCTCCTCCATGCACCCCCTTTTTTTCAGAAAATCAATGTAAACATGAAACAAATTCTCATTTCTACTCCTGTACATTCCAAAATAAGGTCCTGGTAAACTCAAATTCTCAACCAGTCTTCACTGATCCTTGCAAATAACTATCAAGCTAGACCTAAAAAGCAATTGTCACAATAAAAATAAGAATAAGAAAATTATATTATTGAAAGCTGGTTAGAGAATGGGCTCTGAAAAGCAGAAGTAGATGGTATGAATCATGAGCCCTGAGGAAGTATAAACACTACTGAATGTAGAAACTCCCCCCCCCCCCAGTAGTGTTCAGGAAGCCTTCTGTCAGTGGTAGACAGCCTGAGTACTTCCTGCCAAGCTAATGTGACAAGGACTATAAAACAAAACATGTTCCTTATCAGATTAGGATTCAGGTCAGAATTTGGGATGAAGCCAAATAGAAAAACAGGAACTAATTCAGAGACAACTGAGGGAAGGAGTGGTGCTTGAGAGAATTCCTGATTTGGGTTTGCAAATTCAAATTAGCTCATCTACAGAAATAGGTCACAAGAAAAGAGCACATGCATGGAGAATTTAAACTTCTGACTCCATCAGCTTGCATTTAAATGGTCAATAGAAAGAAAAACAAAGTGAAAAGAAACGTATTTGATCTTTAGTGAAATACTATTTTTTTTCCTTTTACACAGATTTCCTTTTCACCTTGAGTTGAATACATTTTCATTTCTTGTATCAAGCTCTTCCAACAAAGTTTAGCAACTGGTCTTATACTTGCACAAACTCCCCGAACATGGAAGATGGTATATGATAAATAGTATTGAGCCCTTTTAAGCACCTAATAGATGCTGGGCACTAGGCTAAGAGTTTCACAAAATCCACTTGTCATTCTCAAAAAGAGTTCTCTGAGGAAGTTAATGTTATCTGCCTTCTATAGATGAGGAATCCAAGGGGTTTTTTTTTTTTTTTTGCACAAAGCTATAGGACTGACAGATAGCAGAGCCTGGGTTCAGGTCGGTCTGAACACTTTCTGCTGTGCAGGTTGTGCAGAACTCCTTTAAGAGTTAGGGTTCAGTCTTGGCTGTCTGGCATCAGCACTTCAAGAACCAAATCCCCAAAGAGGAGCAGATGACAAGAGGGTTAAGCCTGTCTCTCCAGGAGTACCATAGAAAGCAACGGGGAGGAGACAGTCTTGGTCCAAAATATTTAAATTTGCATTAATTTACATAGAAAACCAAGATGGGGAAGCTGGACGAATGTCCAGAGCTGGTAGTTTAGGAAATGAGTCTGGATTGTAAGGTTCTAACCATTTTACCCATTTTACCAGTGGTTTGGTTCAGAGGTAAAGACTTTGAGACACTGTTTCTCAATGAAAATCTCCTAAATCTCCATATTATTCATGACATTAAAGACAGCTGTCAAATTTGAAGTACTACCAGAGAGATGTAACAATATCATTTACTGTCCGTGAGCCTTAGGGTGGAATATTAAGAACATGGAAACTGAAACATCCAAGATTTGGTGATGAGAAAGGTTGGGGGACATCAGTAGGAGACAAGAGGATCACAGTGGGGGCAAGAGGATTCTGGAATGAAATGAGGAGATTTAATCTGATTCTGAGAAAGGATCCAAGGTGTTCTCTGGTTTAATTTTTAATAAGATAGTTGGGATTGTGTTGGTAGATTTTTATATCCAAAAGTATCCCCAGAGATCTATTTGGAAATAAAGCTCTAGAAAAAAATAGAAATTAATCCAGACCATCCAAAAGTAAGTTTATTGGAGCTACTAATGTCTTCCAGGACTTTAATTGAAGCATATTTTTCAAAGCTTACAGCTGCCTCTTCTCTGTATCAGAGTTCATATTTTTCTGGGAAGCATATTCCATCCATGATAGAAGGAATAATTAGATAATTCCTCTTCTACTAATTTCTTACTTGATAGTTACTCTAATAACTTTGCCTTCAATGATGAATTCAGGAGATTAAAAAATAAGTATACTTCTTGCTAGTCAAAAATATGACAATTCTGAGATTTTCATATTTGACCAAATATGTATTTCACTTGAGTATTTAGATAGAATAAGTTTCTTATTTAAACTTTCTTGCTGGACCTAAGATTCTCTGATTTCTCTGATGTAAACAAGATTTACTAGGAACTAGGATCTCCTGAATCCTAAGCCCATTATCTCTGACTTAATGCCTGATTATTTCAGAAAGATATTTTTTGTTGTTAATGTTGTTCTTGTTCTTGTTGGTGGTGGGTTTTGATGGTAGTTGTGGTAGGCTTTTTGTTTGTCTATTTGTTTGTTTTCATATACTAGCTATTCCCTACTCTGGAGCTTATACCCTAGATTAATTCATGTGTTTTGGAGAAATCTGAAGTCTCCTGCTCTGGCAAATAGAAGAAATTCAATGATGAGATGCCGCAGTCCGGCTGCAGCAAAGTAACAGGGGGTGTGGCGGGGTGGTGATGAGCAACTTGTGTACATTGATACAGCAGGAGTGGGAGCCGTTTATTGTAGGACCGGAGGGGTATTTATACATTCCACACAGCTTGTCTTAATTAACATAAACTAGATACAGCAGTCAAGCAATAAGAAATCTCCACACTTAATGGCTCGCTGGCGCCACCTCACAAACCACTCCCCCTGGCAAAATACCAGGCGCCATCCTGACTTGTTTACAGACTCTAACATTGAGAATCCACTTGCCCCAGTTCCATGGACCTGTTCCCTCATCTGCCTTTTAAACATTTTAAGATAACATTTTAAGGTTAATTTTATTTTAAAGCTTATATTGACATGAGGATTACAACTATTGTGCTCAACCAAACAGCCCCAAAGATTGGCCAATATTTTTCTTCAACCTAGAAATCCAAAAACCAAACTCCTTGAAAGGAATGTGTATAATTCTAGACACACCAGTAGAAAAGCTAGGGTGAAATGGAAAAGCTAAAACATCTCTGAGAATAGCTTTTATCTTTAACACACTCAAGTTTGCTATAATGCTAGAATTAAAACTGGTTTAATTAAATAACAGGTAGCAAATTTTAAATATCACAAACATGAAACATATTTATTGCCTTTTAAAAAAATCAAGATCTTTTCAGGCTTGCATGCTTAAGTATTTCTGTGATAAAGGTATTTGTACCAAGAATTATACTTCCATTTTAAAATAGACAACAAAATATCAAAAAGTCTAAAGCAACAAAATATTTTAGGTTATCTTGATCTCAGATCCAGTTGTAAACTACTATATATATTATGTGTCAGAATATAAAACATGCCATTATCTGATACAATGAACATACAGTCAACATGTGCACTGCACAGTAGAGAGTTTGACTTAGGCATTTTCATTGTCTGACTGTCTGTACTTCACACAAGTTACAACCTATGTTACCCTTTATTCTCCTATCCCAAACTTTCCAGTGAGCCTATGCCTAAGTATCAGGAAGTCTTTATGTGAAAGAAGTTAAAAAAAAATAAGGGAAGATTATAGCTGTAAATGCCTATTTTTTAAAAGAAGATAGATCAAAAGAATGAAAAAAACAAGCCACAAATTTGGTGGATATATTTGCATAAGACATATCTGACAAAGAACCATTATCCAAAATATACAAAGAACTCTTAAAACTCAACAGTAAGATAGCAACTTGATTTAAAAGTGGGCCAAAAACCTTAGCAGACACCTCACCAAAAAGACATAGGTATATGAAATACTCCACATCTTATGTCATTAGGGACATAAATTGTAAAAACAAAAACGAGATACCACTAACGCTCTATTAGAATGACTAAAATCCAGAACACTGACAATACCTAATGTTGGAGAGGATGTGGAGCAATAGGGACTCTCATTCATTGGTGATGAGAATGCAAAGCGGTACAGCCACCGTAGAATATAGTTTTGCAGTCTCTTACAAAACTAACCACACTCCCATTACACAATCTCCAATCGTGCTTCTTGTTATCTAATCAAATGAGTTGAACACTAGGTTATAGTTTGGCTGTTAAGTGTCTCCCAAAGGATTATATTCCATTCATATGAGGGAATATTTTCAGGATATTCATATGCCCCCAATCCTAGCCCCTCCCTGTTTCTCTTTGCTTCCTTGCCACTATGGGGTAAGCAGCTTTCCTCTGCCATGTGCCTCTGCCTCTCCATAGGCCCAGAAGCAATGATGCCACAAGTACACAGACTAAAACCACTGATACCCTTAGCTAAAATAAACATTTCTTCCTTTTAAGTTGTTTATATTAGGTATTTTTTCACAGTGACAGGAAGCTAACACAATTTATGCCCATAGGCACACACACACACACACACACAACTCACACACACAAACTTACACATAACTGCTCAAACTTGGAAGCAGCCAAGATACTATTCAATAGATGAAGGGATAAATGAATTGTGATATATGAAAAGATAAGAAAGAAACTTAATTGCATGTTACCAAGTGAAAGAAAAGGCTACTACTATATTATCCCAACTATATGCCATTCTGGAAAAAGCAAAACTATAGGTACAATAAACAGATCAGTGGCTGCAAGAGGTTGACAAGGGGAAGCAATGAATGAACAAAGCACAGACCTTTTAGAGGAATGAAATATAATACTATAATGATAGATATATAATTATAAATTTATCCAAATTCATAGATGTACACCACCAAGATTGAACTCTAAGGTAAACTATGGACTTTGAGTGATAATGACATGTCAATGTAGGTTCATCAATTGTAACAAATGTGTGGCTCCTGTGGGAGACGTTGATAGTGGGGAACTAAAATGTGTGGGGGCAGGGAATATAATGGGAATTCCTATACAATCTGTTCGGTTTTTCTGAGAACCTAAAACTGCTCTAAAAATAATAAAGCAGAAGCAGAAGATTATTATAAAGACAAAGAAGAAAGGCCCCAAATCAGCAACATAATTTTTCACATTAAGAAAGTAGAAATAGGGGCTGGGGTTGTGGCTCAGTGGTAGAGTGCTCCAGTAGCACACATGAGGCACTGGTTTTGATCCTCAGCACCACATAAATGTAAAATAAAGATTTGGTGTCCACCTAAAACTAAAAAATAAATAAATAAAAAGAAACTAGAAATAAGCTGGGTGCAGTAGCACATGCCTTTAATGCCAGCAATTCTGGAGGCTGCGGCAGGGAGCATTCCAAGTTTAAGGCCAGTCTCAGCAGCTTAGGGAGACCTTCAGCAACTTCAAAAAACTCTGTCTCAAATTAAAAAATAAAAAGGGAGAGCTTGTTAAAGTGCCCCTGGTTTCAATCCCCAGTACCAAAACAAAACAAAAAACTAGAAACATAACTCCTGTGCAGTAGTGTGAGTCTAAATAATGACAATGTTCTGGATATTTTTTAAAAATCTAGAATGAAGGATTTTGAATATTTTTACCATAAAAGAATGATAAATGTTTGAGGAGATAGATATATTTACCCTGATCTGAATACTACATAATGTATCAAAACACATGGTTTCCTATAAGTGTGTATAATTTATACATGTCTGTAAAAAATAGATTTCTGTTATTGATAATTTTTTAAAGTAACTAGAAAAAGATCAAATGAAGCCCCAAACAACCAGGATAATAAAGATTGGAGTAGAAATAAACTAAATAGAGACTAGAAGAAGAGTTAGAAATTGTGTGAACACCTGAATTCACAGCAACATAAGTCACAGTAGCAAAAAGTAGAAACAATCTTAGTGTCTATTGATGGAAGAACTGATAAACAACATGTGGTATACACACACACACATATTATTCACCCTTAAAAAGGAAGGAAATTCTGACACATGCCACAATGTGAGTGAGCCTTGAAGACATATGTTTAAAAAAAAAAAAAAGCTAGTAACAGGACAACTATTCTATAATTCGACTTTCGTGAGATACCTAGAATCATCAAGTTTATAGTGATAGACATTAGAATGGTGGTTGCCACAGGCCAGTCAGGAAGAAATGAAGAGTTAGTTCTACATGGGTACAGGTTTCAATTTTGTATGATGCAAAAGTTCTGGAGATGGATGGTGATAGTTGACAGCAATGCAAATGTAACTGTATAGAACTGTACAATTATAGGAATTACAACCAAAATTTTGATAATATATGTATTTTACCAATAAAAAAAGAATCAAAAAGTTGGTTGGTTGAAACAATCAAAAAATTGATAATATTTTAGCTATATTGACAAAGAAACAAGAAAGGACAAATATCACTAAAATATGAAATGAAAATATATATGTTAGTATCCAGTTTACAGAAATAAAAAGGATTGGGCTGGGGCTGTAGCTCAGTGGTAGAGTGCTCACATTAAACTAAAAAGCTTCTTCATAGCAAAGAAAACAATCAAGAACATGAACAGAGAGCCTACAGAATGGGAGAAAATCTTTACCACCTGAACCTTAGATAGAGCATTAATCTCCAGGATATACACAAAACTCAAAAAACTTAATGCACACACAAAAAAAACAAATAATCCAGTCAAATGGGCAAATAAACTGAACAGGCACTTCATAGAAGAAGACATATGAATGGTCAAAAAAAGTATGATATATCAAGAACTATGTAATGTTTTGAACAACCAACAATAAAAAAATTTTTTAAAAAAGTATGAAAAAATGTTCAACATTTCTAGCAATTAGAGAAATGCAAATTAAAACTACACTGAGATTTCATCTCACTACAGTCAGAATGACAGTTACCAAGAAAACAAGTAACAATAAATATTAGCAAGGATGTAGGGTAAAAGGTACACTCCTACATAGCTGGTGGGACTGCAAACTGGGTTCAACCACTCTGGAAAGCTGTACAGAGATTCCTCAGAAAACTTGGAATGGAACCACCATTTGACCCAGTTATCCAACTCCTCAGCTTATATCCAAATGACTTAAAATCCGCATACTACAGTGATGCAGACGCATCAATGTTTATAGCAGCTCGATTCATAATAGTCAAGCTTTGGAAACAACCCAGGTGCTCTTCAACAGATGAATGGATAAAGAAAATTTGGTAAATGTACACAATGAAATATTGCTCAGCCATAAAGAAGAATTAAATTATGATACTTGCCAGTAAATGGATGGAACTGGAGACTATCATTTCCAAAGATACCTATGTGAAAACCCTAAGTGAAATAAATCAAAATCCCAAAAAGCCAAAGGCCAAATGTTCTCTTTGATATACAGATGATAACACATAATTAGTAGGGAGGGAAGAATAGAAATTCATTAGATTAGACAAAGGGGAATGAAAGAAAGGGAGAGGGGATGGGAATAGGAAAGACAGTAGAATAAATCAGACATAACTTTCCTATGCTCACATATGAATACACAACCAGTGTAACTCCATATCATGTTTAACCACAAGAATGGTACAAAAATTGTGATGGGTTGCACCCCATCACATGTATAAAATGTATAAAATGTCAAAATACACCATATATCATGGGTGTAAAAAAAAACAAAATGAAACAAAAAAACCAAAGGCAGATATAATCAGACTGAATAAGAAATAAATATGGAGGAGAAAGCTGTTGTAAAAGTGAGAATAGCATTATATCCCCACAACAAGGTGTATTCTGGAAATTTTAAAATGTAATCATATGAACATTATTTTCATTAAAAATATGAAAAGAGGAGTCAAGAACACGCAAGATTCCACATATCTCTGCTACTTTTCAACCTTGCAAAGGAGATCCCAAGCAATGTAATCAAATGGGAATAAAAAGATATAAATATAACATTGAATGAACACAAAACTGTGAATAATCCCAGATGATATGACCATTTACCTAGAAAACCCAAGAGGATCAACTGACAAACTATTAAAACCAAGAACTGAATTTTATATATGGTCCAAAATAATAACATCATCCAAAATTAAAAAAAAAAAACTATTGTTTTCTTTAGCACCAGCAACAATCAATCAGAATTATTCCATTCTGTACAATTTCTTTTTTCAATAAAAAAGTTTATAAATAACAACAGTGATTCCTTGTGTACTTCTTCTTCGTTTCATTAAACTCTCCACCCCTTCCATAAACACTATCTTGCATTTAGAGTTTTTTACTTCTATTCGTGTTTTTATGTGTTAGAATGTGTGTGCTATGTCCTTAAAAAATATAAATATGTGTACATGTGTATATATATTTGCACTAATTTCAAAATAAAATGCAAACTATATACATATTAATTTTTCACATTGAAAAATTGTATTAAATTATATGTGATATAATTATATGTATGTGCATGTGTCATCCTGCAACTTGATTTTACCCTATTTTTAGACTTATCCAAGTTGATACTTATGCTTATATATGGCATTCTTTCTCATTATCTGGAATCAGTATGGAATATGCTTTTAAAAATAATTTGTTTCATTTCTATAAATACATGCATGGTAAGTAAAAACCACATCTCAAAAGAGATATAGGTTAAAGACAAAAATCACATTGCAAGTACAAAGCAGCTTGGAAAAAATAGAAATAACTTTACTGTTCATCTAGAGGAAGATTAAATAAATTATGGTCTATCTATAAAATGGTTTTACAATATTTAAAAAGAATTTAGTAGGTCTGTACATACTGACATGCAAAGACTTCCAAGACATAAAAGAAAATCTAAAACAATATGATCTCTTTCATGTCAAAAGTTAAAACTGTGTATTTTAAACCACATGTCTATGTAAATGTATCTTAGAAAGACAGAAAAATGATAATACTGGGCACCTTTCAGTAAATGAATGGGTTTGAGGGAGTTGAAGGGAGATACTTTTACTGTTTATTGCTAGATTTTGTTAAGTGAGGATATGTTCTTAATAGTGTGGGGGAGGGAGTGGGAGAGGGAAATGGGGAGGGAGAGAGAAGTAGGGGTGAGAAAGAGGGGGAGAGAGAGAGAGATCCAGGGGAGCTTAACCAGTGAGCTACATCCCCAGCCCTATATTTTTCATTCTGAGATAAGGTCTCCATAAGTTGTTGAGGGCCTCACTAGGTTGCTGAGGCTGGCTTTGAACTTGTGATCTTCCTGCCTCAGTCTCCTGAGCTGCTGGGATTACAGGTGTTGATAAATTGATGATACATAAATAGACAAATGCAAGATCAAATATTGATCAAGAAGAATGCACAAAGGACCAACTCACTCCCAGAGCATATAATCAAGTAAGAACTAACCATATTATAAGTTTTTAGTGTGGTTGCAGTCCACATTCTTTGACCTAAGGTTATCACTTAAGTTTCCCTTTTATTTGTTTTTTTTTCATCTATTTAATTAGAAAATAGAAAAGCAAGACAAATATTGTAATGAACATACTTACTGACATATTTCAAAGTTTTGGGTCGGAGAAGACAACCACGAAAATTCAAACACAGCACATTTAGACGCCACTTTTGCAAAGTAGACACTACATATTTATCTGTAACTGTATTCTTCACCGTGGAAAAGTTAATCTAAAAAGGATAAACAAAAGGCATTAAGAAATGCAAAAAATATGTTTCATATAAAAATTTTAAATATTTTAAATTATCAAGTACTAAAAGTTCTCCATCACATCATTCCCAAATAGAAAAAAAGACTAAAATATTAGAGTGTTCTACTAGATAATATAAATTTCATAAGTAAAAAAGGAATATACACACATACAAACACAATTCCAAAATGATTTGAGTTTGCCAATAAAAAATATAGCACATTAAACACAAATGGCTTTGGGGGTATGTGTATGTGTATGTTTCTGAGAATCAAAGCTTTGTACATCAAGAATGGGAAATTATACTCCATGTATGTATAATAGGTCAAAATATATTCTACTGTCATGTCTAGCTAAAAAGAACAAATTAAAAATTTTTTTGAAAAGCCTTGTACATGGGGGCTGGGGATGTGGCTCAAGCAGTAGCACGCTCGCCTGGCATGCGTGAAGCCTGGGTTCGATCCTCAGCACCACATACAAATAAAGGTGTTTGTTGTGTCCACCAAAAAAAAAACCCAAAAAACCTAAACTAAAAAGCCTTGTACATGCTAGGCAAGCACTGTAACCACTGAGCTATATCCCAAGTCCACAAATGGCTTCTTTATTATTATTATTATTAAATGATTCAACACATGAGACAACATCTAGTCTCCCACTTGTGAGTTAAGATATACAAAATAGTTTAACAATGAGAGATGATAGATTTCAAAAAGCAGGCAGAACTAAAAAAATCTTGGAGCAAAAGTCAGTCTATAACGCCATATACTTTTGTGATTATAAATCAATTTAACTTTTGTCATAATGATGTTACCTTTAGGAATTTATCCTGCAGATACAATCATGTATTTTTAAATATTTTTGTTTGTTTAAAATATTCTTTACATTTTCATATAATCATACATCTATATGGGGAACAATGATGTTCTGATACATTCATGCATGGTATAATGATCAAATCAGGGTAACTGGCATATCCATCACTTCATACATTTATCATTTCTTTGTGGCAAGCATTCCAAAACTTCCCTACCAGCTCTTTTGAAATACACATCATTGTTAAATACAGTCACTGTACTGTGCAATGGCACACCGGAACTTATTCGCTTTTATAACCATGCATTTGTACGCCAGCCTTGCCCTTTCCTGTCTCCTCTCCAGTCGCTTAACCTATATTCTACTCTCTATTTCTGTGGGTCAACTTTTAAAGATTCCATATAAATATGAGATCATATAGTATTTGTCTTTCTGGGTATGGTTTATCTCACTCAACATTATGTTCTCTAGTTCCCTACATGTTGCAGATGACAAGATTTCCTCTTTTTAATGGCTGAATAGTATTCTTTGGTGTCTACATACCACATTTCCCCCTCATTCCTTTGTTGTTGACATTTAGGTTGATTCCAAATTTTGGCTATTGTGAGTGGTCCTGCAGTAAACATGGGAGTGCAGGTGATTCTTTGATATATGGATTTTATTTCCCTTGGATATGTACCTAGTAGTGGGATTGCTGGATCCAAAAATGTTTAATTTTTTTATATCTTTATTGCATTTTTATGTGGAACTGAGGATTGAACCCAGTGCCTCACAAATGCTAGGTGAGCACTCTACCACTGAGTCACAGCACCAGCCCCCAAATTTTTAATTTTGATGATGACTGATTATCTACTTTTTTTCTATTTTTTTGCTCAGTATTATTTTAGAGACGCATTCAGGTTTATTTAACTCTTTAGTTTACTATCTGTCTAGTAGCCAGGCACAGTGGCACAGGACTGCAATCCCAGCAACTTGGGAGACTGAGGCAGGATAATTGCAAATTCAAGGCCAGTCAGGGCAACTTACTGAGATCTTCAAAATAAAAAAATTAAAAGGGCTGTGGATATAGCTCAGTGGTAGAGTACCCCTGGTTCAATCTCCAGTACCACCAAAAAAAAAAAAATCTGTATAGCATTCCATCACTCCATTGTATATATTTTAAAAGTTATTATTTTTTAAAAATATTTCTTCTTCCATTGATGGACATTTAGGTAGTGTGTAGTGTTTCTGCTGTTTTAAACACATGACTTGAGGACATCTGTGAGTTTCTCTAGGCTATATACCTAGAAATGCAATTGCTTGGGTCCTAGATTTGAGTGTCTTCAAATTAAGTAGATGCTTCTGAACTTCCCTCCCATGTTGATAAACAAGTTTATATTCCTATATTGGTAAACATTGTCATATCACCAACCTTTGGTGTTAACAGATTTTTTTTTCTTTTCTTTCTTTCTTTCTTTCTTTCTTTCTTTCTTTCTTTCTTTCTTTCTTTCTTTCTTTCTTCCTTTCTTCCTTTCTTCCTTTCTTCCTTTCTTCCTTTCTTTCTACCAGGGATTGAACTCAGGGGCACTCAATCACTGAGCCACATCCCCAGCCCTCAATCGTGTATTTTTTTTTAATATTTTTTTTTAGTTGTAGATGGACACAATACCTTTACCTTACTTATTTATTTTTATGTGGTGCTGAGGATTAACCCAGTGCCTCACACATGCTAGGTAAGTGCTCTACCACTGAGCTACAACCCTAGCTCCACACTCATATGTATTTTAAAAATGAGGAAAAGGATGTACACTAAAGGATTTTAATAGAAAGAGAGAGAAACAAGCTAAGAAACTAATTAAATAAATTGAAGGACTTCTTACAACAAAACACTGATCAATAGCTGAATTCAGGGTTTAAAAAAAAAAGCACAATTTACAGAAAACCTAAAGAAACAAGATCTAACTATGTTACTCTGCTTGTATAATTCAGTCCAAGAACAAAATTCACAATATCTAGAGGATTTAATGGACCAAATCCTACATGAATTTTACTCCTCAATGTCAATTTTTTTGATGAGAGTTGGTTCTCAGAGTTCAAGATTTCCCTTTCCCCATCCATAGTACTAAGGATTGAACCCAGGGCCTCACATGTGCTGGGAAGCACTCTACCACTGAGCTACATCCCCATCCATTTTTATGTTTTATTTTGAGACAGGGTCTCACTAGTTGCCCAGGCTGGCCTTGAACTTGCAATCCTCCTGCTTCGGTTTTGCAAAATGGATGGGGTTACAGGTGTGTGTCACCAGTCCCACCAAGATTCTATTATTTTCAAAGAACCTGGAAAGCAGAAATCCTGTGTTTCCAGGTAGGGGAAAATTAAATGGCAAAAGTGGCATTTCCTTAAAAAATATTTGCTAAATAATAGTATATGCTTTGTAGTCAGAGTGATCAGAGTTTGTATTCCTATCCAACCACTTAACAACTTGGGCTATTACTTGACTAAGCCTTAGTTTTTGGTTTTGTTAATATATTTTTTAGTTGTAGATGGATACAATGTCTTTATCTTATGTTTTTGTTTTTCATCTGTAAAGTGAGAAAAATAATAGTGCCTAACTCAGGAAACTTCAGGGGTGAACTAAGAAAATGCAACTTAATGTGCTCAGGGCAGAACTCATCTATAAGTCAACCAAACATGTCATCAGAGCACCCTCCCCATTCTTGGCTGAACTGTTTTATTCTCACTCTGTATGACAATATCAAGAGAATTGATTCCATCTGAGCTAACAAATCAGATACTCATGCCTTAAGTTTATTTTTAGTTTAATGCAGTGATTCTCAGACTTTAGCCTGTATCAGAATCATCTGGTTGGATTTAACGATCCAAACAAACAGATTGCTGATTTGCTACTCCCAGAATTTCTCTGGGGTGGGGCCTGAGAATTTGCATTTCCAACAAGTTCCTGGGTGTTGCTGATGCTGCTGGTCTTAGGACCATACTTTACGAATCACTAGTTTATATGAATAAATCTCTTATTTATGTGACAGATGTTTGGGGATGTTCCTTTTCGCTTTGGAACACATAAAAAAGAAAAAATGAATCCAAATGCTCTGAAGGAGAAATAATATGTGCAATATTAAGATCAGGACAAATCCTGCAGCAGCCTGGCAGAAATTAGAAAAAGCCAGCACTTCTGCCTTCATTGGATAAAGATGTAGAGAATATGAGAACGTGGCAGGAAGAACAAAGCCAGAATAGGAGGTTAGGTTTCTTTATGTTTAGTAAATTTCTATTTCCATAATTATATATTGGCCTTTGTTTTATTTTTGCTTTTATTTGTGTTTAAATGTGTCACAATTATTTAAAGAAAAAGGCAATGAGAAATGACAAAATGAGGAATTGGCTACTCACAAATTGGGTGTTTCAGCTAAATGCTTAAATTTTTAGCAAAAAAATATATCAATGTCATACTTTGAATTTAATTATCAGTCACTTCTGTCCTCTTTGAGTTCAAACCCCTCATCTTATCAGTTTTACCTGACATGCACATAAGGTCATTCTTTCTTCTTTCTTTTTAGTAGAACTAATCCTTCCAAATTATGAATGATGAATAGGTCATTACAAACCACACAGTCTAAACTGTCTTCCTCATAGGCAAGGATTCAACATACAGTATACACTCATGAAGGAATCAGGCACATATTAATAATGAAGCCAGGATAGGGTATAAAATATTCAATAAAACAGGCTTTGCTTCAATACTAATATAATATTCAATTCATATCTACTATTTAAAATACTAATATATCTCTTAAAATAACATTATTTTCTTTTTTATCTCTCCCTCCAAGCTTCTGCCCAGACTAAAGAAAAACAAATGCACTTGTTGCTGGTGGCCACAGAGTAAGGAGCAAGGAAGAAGGTGGTCCCTTCTTATAGCAGTCCATTGGCCCTTAAGAACTAAAATAACCCCATAGTTCAGAGAGTAGCTACTTACAGCATTCCACAATTTAGTTATCTGTATCATCACCATCCAGGAGTGATTTACTTGACCACATATTATCACATCTCTTAAACCAAGGTATGAGAAAATCTAAGTGCAAAGAAAAGAAATACACAATTTTGAAAAATGTGTAAACTTTGATGCAATTCTTTCCACTTTTTATGTGTGTGCACACATGCATGCAAGAGTGGAGGGAGGGAAAGAGAGATTAAGAGAGACTAAATAGTAATATAATCCATATATTGTATAGCAAAAGTTTAAGCACTAGAATTTTATCTGAAGATAGAAATTTTATCCAAAGTACTAGAACTTAACTGCTGATGCCTTTTGTACAATGTGATCCTTTATTTTTTATTTTTTTGGCACCAGTGATTGGATCTAGGGGATAATTAAACACAGAGCCAAATACCCAGTACTTTTTATTTTTTATTTTGAGACAGGGTCTTCCTAAGTTGATTAGGGCATCACTAACTTGCTGAGGCTGGTGTCAAACTTGTGATCCTCCTGTCTCAGTCTCCCAAGTTTTGGGGATCACAGGCAAGAACCACTACACCTGGCTTATTTATTAAAGTGGGTGGTGAGTACACAAGTACTCATTTTTTACATTTCTTTGCATGCCTGAAATATTTTATATTAATAAACTCACTTTTGAATAAAATACATAGGAATAAATTTAAGGGGGTGAAAGAATCATACAAAACACTGAATATTCCATTTTGTGAATTGGAAGACATAATAACAATAAGGAACTGAATCAGTCTGCCCCTGAGTAAACACCAAACTCAAGCTCAGAGTGTTTTATAATAGTATTATATCAAATATTCAAAGAACAAATAACAATAAAAACACAGTTCAACCCAAAGTGATCTATAGATTCAACGCAACCCTATTAATTTTTTCAGACTCCTTTTGCATAAATGGAAAAGCCAATCCTCAAATTCATATAGAATCACAAGGGGTTCAAAATAGCCAAAATAACTTCAAAATAGAACAAAGAGGGCTAATACAAAGCTATAATAATCAAAACGTCAAAGTACAGGATTAATATGTAGACCAATGTAATAAGACTTGAGAGTCCAGAAATACTTAGCATCTTTTTTTATTTTTATTTTTTTAGTTGTAGTTGAACACAATACCTTTAATTTTATTTATATTTTATGTGGTGCTGAGGATCGAACCCAGGGCCTCGCACATGCTAGGCGAGCGCTCTACAGCTGAGCCAGCCCCTACTTAGCATCTTTGAACAACTGATTTTCAACAAGAAGCCCAATACAATTCAATGGGGAAAGAAGAGTATCTTTAATGAATGGTGCTGAGACAATTGGATATTCAAATATTTTTAAAAATGCATTTAGACCCCCCCCCACACACACACACACTCATTCCATATTTTTAAAAATTCAAAATAAATCAATGGCCTAAATATCCAGAGCTAAAACCATTAAATTCTTAAAAGAAAACATGGGGTAAATCTTCATGACCTTGAGTTTAACAAAAGTCCTTAGCTATGACATAAGCCACAAAGGAAAAAAAATCTAAATTTCATCAAAATTCAAAACTTTTGTGCATCAAAAAACATTACAAATAAAGTTAAAATTTCACATTTTTTTTCTGTATATACTATTGAAGGAACGAATTATGCTAACAATTAAGTCAATCATTGAAATGGCCAAGAACCTTGGAAAGGTATTACAGTAGATGAGGTAGCCTAAAAAGCGTATTGTCATTTTCTACCTGTACTGTTCTTGTACAGTACTTTTTTAATTGATTTTATTTTTTTAAGTACATGACAGCGGAATGCATTACAATTCTTTTTACACATATAGAGCACAATTTTTCATATCTTTGTATATAAAGTATGTTCATACCAATTCATGTCTTTATACATGTTCTTTGTGGTTTTTTGCATTATAATTCTTATTACATATATATACCACAATTTTTCATATCTCTGTTTGTATATAAAGTAGGTTGACACCCAATTCGTGTCTTCATACATGTACTTTGTACAATATTTTAAAGAGAGGAAGTACGATAATTAGGCCTTATGTCCAGAGAGGTAAAAGCAACCTAGAAAAGTTAAATGGCCACACTTCTATAGAGCCAAATTTCTGAGACTGCAGGAGACAAATAACTTGTTCAAGAGTTGTATAAGAACAATCTAGATAAAAAGTGAGATGGGAAGCAAAGCCTTAAAGGCAGTAAACTGTAATTTAGCCAAGTAAGAAATAAAGTTCCTGAGCAAGCACCTCCAAGCCCCTCTGACACACACACAAAGCAGACAGGAAAACTGAGCACAGCTGCTCAGAATAGACTGGGCTTCTATTCACTGAGCCTTTGTTACAGAGACCACCTCTCCTTGGAAGGGTACTATACTAGTTGCTTAGGTTGCCATAACAAATTGCCACAAATTGGGTGGCTCAAAACAACCGAAATTTGTTCTCTCTGTTCTGGAGGTAAGAAGCCTGAAATCAGAGTTGAGAGGGTGGTGCCCCACTGAAGCCCTTGTAGAAAGTCCTTCCTTGCCACCTTAGCTTCTGGTGGTTGCCAGGATTCTTTTGCATTCTTTGTCTTATAGCTATATCACTGCTCCAACCTCTGCCTCTTGTCACATGGCCTTCCCTCCTGTGTGTGTTTGGTTCCCTCTTTCCTCTCATAAAGACAGCAGGTATTAGATTTAAGACCCATTCAAACGCAGCATGACTTATTCTCTGCAAAAATCTTATTTCCAGATTTCCAGATAAGTTCACTTTCTGGGGTTCCAGAAGTACATTAATTTTGGAGGACACTTGTCAACCTAGTACAGTCATCTAACTCCTCTGAGTCCGTTTCCTCATCTGCAAAACAAGGGTCTTTGGTGAAATAATTTCTAAAGGCCTCTTCCATACCTAAAATTTTGTGATTACTTTTGTAATTTATGGCCAGATAGTTAAAATTAGTCTCTTTATTGTATTGTCATATGGTAATTTTAATCTCAAATTTAAAGAGTTTATTTTTTTCCATATTGTGTGATTTAAGTTCTTCTCAACTATAAATTCTAAGAGGGTATTAATTACAACAAAAAAGCCCATATCTAAATAGATCATACCTATCATTTACACATTAAATTCTTTCATAAATGGATTCAGACTTTCATTTGCATTGTGGTTCATGTAGTAGAACAGAGAAAGATGATTAGAATAAGACTACATAATGCCTTTCCCAATGTGTGGGGATTTTTATGTCTTTTCCAATAAATGAGGAGCTGCCATTTTCTTCACTAGCTCTTTTAACACTTAATTGTTTAGCATCTAGTTTATAATGTCACACCACATTCATTCCATAGACTATTTCCCAGAAATACTTAAAAGGCAGGTGTTCCACAATTCAATGTAGAATAAACTGTTTCAAAGAATTTAAATACAATTACCACAAACCTATAGTTTCTCCTAAGGAGTGGGGCCACTATTATAAAATATAACTGAAAGTTTTAAAACATTCATATGCAATTACATTTAGAAATACTAGAAATTAATTCCACATGGAACACTATTGCCAATACGGCAACCTGGGAAGAACATCAAGGAAGAAGAGTATGATTTCTAATTCAGTTCCATAGATAATCACCAGGTACTCTATGCAAGACACATCCTAACCCATAAAATTGACAACACGTATCAGAAAATGGGGCATTTTAAGAAAACCATATGCCACTGAAAGTCTATATGAGCATGAAATCTGAGCATACTCAATAATATGTTTCAGCACCACTATGAGCCAGGGCGCTTTGAATTTCAGGAAAAAGAAGAGCATCTAATGGTCCATGAAGAAATATTGGGATGAGAAAGGAGAAAGAAAGCCCACATCATGAGGGAATTGGATGGACGTAACAAGAGAACAAACTGAACACTTTAACCCCTGGCAGAGGGAAAGAAAAGGAAAAGGGATTCACCAGTTCAAGGAAGCCAACCATGCCTCAAAGAAATTGAAATGGTGCCTGGTGAGATACGATGATTTCAGTTAAGGTTACAGATGCAGCTGCAAGAAGTCTACCTAGAGCAGAGACCTTTCAAGCCTACAGTCTACTTCCTACTTCTGACTCAATGTGAAAAATCAGTGATACTCTTGGAAGAGACTAGAAGTGGTTCTCGGGATGGGGAGATGGAAATTTTACAATACACTGAAGCATTGGAATCCCAGTAGCTATTTTCATTTTGATCTTATGTGACAAAACCAGAGCCCCTAGGAGGATATCAACAGCAGACAGATTTCAGCTTTTTACATTAGGAAAAACCTCTAATATCTTCTAGCACAAAAATGGTTTTTATTTTTTTTTCTCTTCCATACAAAAGAAGCAAGTTCCCAAAAAGGAATGTACAGGGTTCGTGGTTAGAATTAACTTTTCTGTAACACCCTGTGGCATTAGATTGGTATTAGGGGTATCAGCACATGTGTCCCATACAAAAGCAGCAACAAGGCTAACATGGCCAACTGACCAGAAAGGGTGCCTATTCACTGAGTATGAGGGAGCACTGGATGTGTTCAGAGGGGATTCTGAGTTTGGGTGGAGGAACCTATAAGAAGACATCAATCACAAAGTTTCTGTGATTCTAAAATTTTTAAATTCCCTGGTCTCCAAGATGAGCCAGCTCTCAATGAACTTCCTGAGAACTATATTCTCTAATAGTACCAGTATTCCCTACTTATTTGTTAAATACCCTGGATAGTAATGCATTTAATATGGAAATTCTTGCTATAAACACAGTAGAGAACAACAAAATAACTCCAGACCCAATTAGGAAGGAGGGAAAGAGTTACAGTATAAATCTAAATTAAACACAATTTATCCATCACAGAATTATGTGACTGTGGGCATCAACAACCAACCATAGAAATACCTCTTAAGCAACTAGACAGCACTTAGTATGCAAATGTGTAGTGGCCAGGTCATTCTTGAAAGACAACATGGTAAAGTCAAGCTAAAGAAAGGGTTCCCATTAGGTCAAGATATCTATATTTCTTGAGGCTTATAATTTAAGAAGAAAGAAGAAATAATAAAAAACATTTCTGTGAAGGGCTAGTTTTTTTTCAGCTAAATCAGGTACTTCCCT